CAGGAGTACTATTAGGCTGGTAGGGTGGAAATTTTCTTAAAATACTACGACTTTTTTCGGACCTGGCTTCTCCAAGTCTATTAACATACATTTCCTTTTGTGTCAAAATTATTGGTTGTTGGTGCTGGACATCACTAGTGGATCCAGGATTTAATTTTGGGGAACTTCAGCCCGAAAGCTTTTGTTTTCATATGTATAAAGATAATTAATTTGAAAAAGGAAGAAACTATCTACCTATATGACATGGTGTTTAAGTGATTTTTAAAGTCCTATTAAATGTATTTACACGAACAATAATACTTTAAGAGATAGTTTTTAATATTTTTTTCTATCAAACATAGTTAAATTTTATCATTTTGGGAGGGCTTCAGCACGAAAGCCTCTCTCCCTCCTCCCCCATAGACCCTTATGCTGGACACTAATAAACATAACACTTATATGTAATGTGAATGTATTGTACACTTACATGTAACACTTGTATGTTTATGTAAGCAGTAGTGGATTCAGAATTTTGCGGTCTTACTTTCTTACTTTTACGAGATGACTAAGTGGAAGTAAGAAAATCTGTTGCTAACGGAAATCATTGTTTGACAAAATTAGGCTATGGCAGAAAGCTTTTGATCAGCATTATTAGAGGGTATTGAAATTTTTACACTGATCTACCTTAAGCCGGTTTACATTGCTTTAGGTTATCAAATAAATCGTACTCAGATCTTTTCTTTGATCAATTTTCAGGAAAATAAATCTAGTTCAATTCTTTTTTTGTTTTTTCATGAACATATGTAGAGACATAAAAACTTTTCTGAAATAGGTAGGAAAGTCTTGTGAGTGGACACACCAGATTTCTTTTTTATGATGGTATTTACTCTGAAAGAAAATATATAAAATGATATTTAAATGGACCTTGAAGGGATACAAAAATGAAATAAAAACGGCAATTATGTGAAAAATAAGCTATTAGCGATAATTTTTTTATATTTTTCCCGACACAGGCTTATATTTAGTAGCTGTGTATGCGTTATAATTTAAAACGAGGGTACATTGTGATCGCTTAAGCATCTAGCTTTATAGCCTCCTTTCTCGCCTTTAGGCTATATCTCCTGGGCCAGGTTAGAGAACGGAGGATAAATGCCAGTGTTAAAAATCCCCCTCCCTCCCTCGGCATCATGACGGAAACTCGTAATTATTTTATCATATTATATTCAGTCAATCAGGTTACCGGGCAAGGCGTGTTATACACAAGCGTTAGCCCGCTCGGCCACCCCGCACCCTAAATATCTAACTCAAATATTACTAACAGTAACAAATATGGACTAATGAAAAAAAAAATTAATATTCTATTTTGGAACGCTTCAGTTCGAAAGCCGTCGATCCACCACTGCATGTGAGCCTGGAGGTACTTTATATAAGAAATTAAAGTAAAGAGAGTGAAATTAATCTTAATTTCATGATTTTTTATTTTTCGAATGAGTGAAAGGTATTATTCTGAGGCAATATATTGGGTAGTATCACTATCGAACCATAGGGCTATCGATATTATTTATTACGCGTAGCTGAGTAGTTGAGATATGGAAGTTATGGTCAATGATGGGAACTATGCATCATGCATTCTGTCTCCTACTCGTGAAAATACTTACAACCTGGTGTAAAAATTTTACTGGTCCTAACATTTTGTTGCCAGACCTTTTCTCACTCTAAACCTCTGTAAAATGCGGTACTTCCTCAGTCTTGTGTACTATAATCTGGGCTTATATCGTAAACCGTCTTCCTTTAGAACGGGGATGTCCAAATTTACGATCCTACCCGTGATAATTTATTTTATTTACAATCTATCAATATAACTAATAAAGTTCATTTAATATAACAATGCCTTAAATTGAAAATCTTGGTTTATGAGTTTATACAGGACAGATAATTGTAATAGTGTGAATTTTTAATTAGCGATTTTTCATAGCTAATTGTGTTGTTTTTTATCATCGTTCCACAAAAGCAGTAGTGGTTACAGGATTTTTTTTTTGGGGGGGGAGGAAGAAGAGGTTGTTTTTTTTTTTAATAACGGTAATAACTCTAGAAGAAAATGAAAAAAAAAAAATACCTGTAAGAAAATATATTTAAGTGATCCTAGAAGAAAAAAGAAAGCAATGGTAATTTACAGAGCGATAATTCATTTAGACATCAATTTCATATATTTTTTCTTGACAGTGCTTACATTATTATTACACATACCTGTCTATGAATTATAATTTAAAAAGAGAATGATATTCTAAACACCTGAACAACTACAATATACCATATTGTATTTAGCCTAGATAGCTCACATAAACAAATATGGACAAATAAAAATAAAAATAAAAAAATTTTATTTGGGGGAGAGCCTGAAAAACATTCATCCCTCATAGTTCCTCTACTGCACAGTAAAGGCGCACACTTCAATAAAAATGTTGAGGGGTGGAAATATCGTTTCGCCATCCCAATAATTTTAAGCAAAAAAAAAAAAAAAATGAAATTGATAACAAATAAGCTACATGAATGAATAAAAATATGTAAACTAAAATCGATTAAGAAAAGTCGACTAGCTGGCTAAGCTAAGACCTATAAGTAGGTACTTAACAATTTTATCACAACCTAAATATTCTTATTATTTAAATTTTCATTCATATTCAGTAATAATAGTTTAGAAACATATCCTTGGATTTTATGATTCATTCATCTTTCATCTGAACACCTTCATTTTCACTTGATTTTCTTATAAATTTTCTGCAATAAAGTTGGAAAAAATGTATATAATAAGTACAAGTATAAATATATTATAAAGAGAATGATTGTATATCCATTTTTCCATAGTCAGATTGAGAACAAGTTTTATTTTTTTTTTGACATTGTAGAAACAAAGAAATCAAAAGTATTTTTCTGTTTTTTAACATTATTTATTATTAGATACAAAAATTCTAGAAATATACCTATGCTATAAAAGCTCTCCCATTCCTCCCATGTTTAATGTATATAAATTGTAATATATCCAATTGTTTTGTTCAGATATTTTGAAGTATATCCAAAAGAACATTAAAAAAAAAATTCTACAACTGTCTAAACACGTATATAAATTTATTTTTAAGTATTCAATATTATATGTTCATTTCACAATAATTATATTGAATTCGTACACGTAATATGAACTGCTACCATTTTTTTTTGTCTGTGTGTATTAGCCCTCCCCTCCCATCAAAATGGAAAATCTGCACCTATAGTGCACAGACATATATGTTTTGACTATATTTAATTATAAGTATATGTTGGTGTGATGATATACTCGTAGTTAGGTTTCCGTTCTTGGGACTTGGGTTAGTATTCAATTAGGTACTACAAGTTTGAACAACCCTACTCTGAAGTGAATCTTCCTCCTGGACGTCAAAAAAACTGTTATAATAATCGCTAAATATCTTGAACTAACATAAACAAATACGGACCTATGAAAAAAATAAAATTTTCTTCAATTTCGGGAGCTTTACCCTGAAAACCACCCTTTCCCCATAGATCCACCAGTGTATACTACTTCTCACTAAACTCACTTTTTCTTGTGTTAATGTTTTTATAAGTTAGATATGATTTTTTTTTTAAATGTCAGGTGTGTTGTTATGCATAAGCAGGGTTATTTTATGATTTTATAATAAGTACTAACATATTATTTAAAAAGATAAATGATTATGATTGAAATAATTTCATGTTATCAGCACAACGCAGACAGGCTGCTGAAACTCATCGAAGCAGTTTACCGATGGCTTCCATTGGGCACTCTTGTCAACAACAAAGTCCTTATAGTCCATGGAGGAATTTCAGATGCAACGGACATCCAATGGCTCAAAACTATAGACAGGCACAAGGTAAGTTTTAATTTTTAATTTATATTATATTATTATATCATTCCAGTAGTGGCATCACTATATGTAGCATAAGTAGTCGTTTGTCATCTGTGAGATGTATTTTCTATTTAGTCCAATTATACTCACAATATTACTTTTAATATTATAGAAAATTGGTAAAATGATTGAAATATTTGCATTTCTAATCATAGACGTTTAATAAAAAAGTTATTCTATAGAAAAAAAATAAAGTGGATAAAATAATTCTGGAAAACTAAATTCATAGTAAGTATCTCAAAACAACAAATCACTTCAAGAATATAGAAATTACGAATGGACACACAAAAAAAAAATTAAAATTAAGAATCCTTTTTGAAGTTTGTTAAGGACATTTCAACACGAGCAAAATAGAAAGGCTTTAAAGTTACTTACCGAAGTAAGGCTCTTGTAAAGTCTGTATTAAAAGCATAAATGACATCTGAATTAAATAATTTTTGAAAAATCAAGAATTTTATTTGAATAAGTTCTAAACGGATGATAATATAAAACAATCACTATAAAGACAATAATGAAAAAAAGTAAATTAAATAACTTCCTGATGGGCTTTTATTTGTCAACATACTACTAAACATTTAATTATATTTTCATAAAGTGCATATGCAAATCCCTTTATATTTAATATTGAAATTAATGTGATTTAATTAATAATTTTAACTAGTCAATGTTTAATGTCTAGTATGTTTCGCTTCTGAGGCCGCCAGTCATAGATGGAGTTGCATCAACATCAGAGAATGTCAACAAACTGGAATGGAAACAGGTGAGATTATGTTTGATTTGCCTTATGTGGATACTGTTTATTTATGTTTTCAAAATTAAAACTCCGTTTCCTTTTATAAAAAATTATGAAATTCAACTGTTAATTTTTTTCAATTATTTTTTTGTCACCAGTGATAAATCAACTGTTTTAAATCAATATATATATATGGATTTAAAATAACACAATTGGTTTATCATTGGTGACACAAAAATAATTGATATATGTATATAAAAAAAAAAAAATTCACTTATGAAATATGTTAAATTTGGGATTTCAGTTGATTGGGATTATATATATATATATATAATCCCAATCAATTAAGTGAAATGTTTTTAACAATATACACCCTAAAAAGGGCTAAGAATCAAACAATACGCTAGGAGCTCCAGCTCCCCTCGGTACCTGAGTTCATTGGCCGGAGGCACATCAAATTTTTTGATGGGCTGAAGGTCTGTGCAAACCCACTTAATCAGAAATCACCGCCACCCAGACCTGGGAGGTGGCAAGGTAAACTCCCTTAGTGGACATACTCGCCAAAGGATGTGGTCTGGACTCTGCGGTCCAAACCCATTAATGTGTATATATGTAATTATTGTAAATAATAAATAATTAGCAGAACGGTCCCTCCCCGTTCAATGAAAGTCACAAGGCCTTCTGCCACATAGTTACCCTTAGCTATCTCCAATCCTTAAAATTCCTTTAAATTACTTGTATACATTGTATTGTTATGTAATTTAATAATATATATATAATTTGATTAAATAAACATTTTGGAGGGTTAGAAAAAAAAAAATTAACTATTCAAATACAAACCCTTAAATATCATCATATAATATAAAATATATTTACATCACTTCAAAAGAAAATGACTCAATATACTTATTTTTTTTCTATCTTTATATAATTGACGAATCCTGTATTGATGAAATTAATTTTTATATAAGGTTTTTGACATCCTCTGGTCAGACCCGCAGCGAGGCGACGGTTGTGTTCCCAACTCTCTCCGAGGTGCTGGTACTTACTTTGGACCTGATGTCACCGAATCCTTTCTTAATAAGCACGGTCTACTTTACCTTATTAGGTCTCATGAATGCAAACCTGATGGGTATGAGATCACGCATGGGAATAAGGTTTGTTTATCTGCAAATATGTTCTATAATATTTTAAAGTAATCATGATACTGATGGCTAAATGCACAAGCATTGTATGTCCAAAACACCTGTTTTTTTTTTTAATACGAGCTTAAAGAGTTTGAATGATGCAAGCTCTTGTTGAAGATAAAATGAAACAACTCTAGTTATTTCAATCACTGAGTTGATCATTAATGATTGCACCTTTTTTTTTTTTTTTTTATATTTAAATTTGTAGTTATTCTAAGATTATCTCTAATTTTTTTTTTCTTATGCCCTGATTCACGGATTTAAAGTATACAGAATAAACCTTTTACTTTATATTAAAACAGGAGTCTCTAAACTACAGCCCATGAAAGTTTCTTTGATTACATGGCAAAACTGTTTACGAAAAATGAAATGTATAATTTACTCAAATACAATAGTCAGCTGTATCCCAATATAACAGATTGTGTACAGGGCTCAATAGATAGATAAGGACTAGCCCTGTCTCACCAATGGATCGAGAAAAGGCTCAACCGGATTAACGGGTGCAGGAGTCTAAATAGAGAATTTTATTTATTTATTTTAAATGATATTTACAACTGTATACAAAAAAATACATCTAGTAAATTTGCACATTGGTATAAAGACATGGAACACATGTTGAGAAACTACCCATTGGTAGCACTCTAATAATATGTCTATATTAGAAGATCACGTGGCCATCTTCTTTTCAGACGCCTCGGAGGGTTATCAGGAATCGAATAGGAAGCAAGGTTAGAGACAAGAGGGTTGGGATGGTTATGAAGTTTATTATGGAAGGACAGATATCTGGATTGGGCCAAATCTGGTACATAAGGAACATTAAGGTCATTATGGATAAATTTATTTGTAACAAAGTAAGGAGCATTGAGGATTTTACGAAGGATTTTGGATTGCAAGGACTGTATGCGAGAGGAATTTGAAGGCTTGGTGGAGCCCCATAGCTCAACCCCGTAAGTCCATATAGGCCTTATTATAGTCATGTAAATCAGTCTTTTATAATTGATTGGAAGGTTAGAGCGTTTATCTAGTAAGTGTTGAAGTAGTCGGAAACGTCGAGCGGTTTCTTGTCGTTTCAGTCTGGTATGAGGATTCCAAGTTAGACGTTTGTCCAGATGGAGTCCTAGGTAACGGATTTGTTCAACAGGAATAAGTGAGGTGTTGTTAAAGGATACTGAAGGACAGGAATTCATTGGTTTACGACAAAAAGGGTGAAGGTAATTTGATGGGATTTATTGGAATTTATTTTAATTCTCCATTTCTGACACCATTCTTCCAGGTTTGTGATGTGGGATTGAAGGGTTTGGGATGCAATAGATGGGTTGTTATTGACTGATAGGATACATGTGTCATCAGCATATGTGGTGATGACAGTGTTGGGATGGGTTGGGATGTCAGCTGTATAAACTGTGTAAAGGATAGGACCTAGGATACTACCTTGAGGAACACCTGCAGACTGGGAAAAATGGGATGTATATACATTGTTGTGATTTACTTTAAAGTATCTATCAGTAAGGTAGGAACGGATAATGAGGAAGTAGGTAGATGGTAGGAATTTTCGGAGTTTGTACAGCAGTCCCGGGTGCCAAACTCTATCAAACGCCTATTCAACATCGAGAAAGGCTCCCGTACAGTACATACCGCGCTCCAATGCAGAGGATACTACGTCTACCACACGATGGCATTGCTGTATAGTGGAATGGGAGGAGCGGAATCCAAATTGGTGATCTGGGATTATGTGATTAGAATCTAGGATTGGGTACAGGCGTTTTAAGATTAGTTTTTCCAGGATTTTTCCCATGATGGGTAACAGAGAGATGGGACGGTAAGAGGATGGATATTCTGGTGGCTTTATATAGAGAATTTAAATATAGAACTAAGCATCACATTAGCCAAAGATTCCATATTTCAAGCGGAAGTGTTTGCTATACTCTCTGCAGTCACTTTCTTGGAATTCATTAACTGTGATAGGGTTGGCATTACTATCTATTCAGATAGCCAGTCAGCACTTCAAGCATTACCTAGTTCTGCCATAAATACTATTACAAAAGTTGAACTTTGTTTACATCCTTGGGTATTATTTAGATAACCCTTACCTCTATCAGGCTACTTTCTTTACATGTCAGGATACTAATCCCAATTATTTTTTTTTTTTATTTCTATCAGTTAATATGGAGTGGGGTGATAAAGAACACCAAATAGCTGTGATCGCCTTACACAAAGTTGGTAAATGTAGGTCAGAGATTTTCAACACTTTGAAACCTTTGCATATCAGCCATATGTTTGTATACCGCATTATAAATAGATATAATGAGACCCTATCTGTATGTGACGGAACTCGACTAGGCCTTCTGGACTGTTAGAATGACAAATGCAATGAGAGCAGTGGTTGCTCGAATCAGAAGAAATCCCATTCGAAAACTACAAATCATGTCTCGGGAAATGAGAATCTCTGTCAGATCAATGTCTGACATAATAAAAAGTGGCCTTAGGATCAGTGCATTTTGAAGAATGACAGGACAAAGGTTAACCACTTCCCTAGAAAAAATGAGAGTGGATAAATGCAAAGTACTCCTTGGTCGTTACACCAATGATCTTCATTGAAAGGTTTTGTTTATTGGGCGGGGTGGCCAAATGAGCTAACGCTTGTGCACAGCACCACCGTTGTCTGGCAACCTGATATATGACATATGTTAATAAAAATAGTCACGAGTACGCGTCCCGGTGCCAAGGCGTCTTTTATATCCCCGCCCACACCTTATGGCCCGGGAAAACCCATAGCCATAACGGCAAGAAAGGGTAGTACCCCAAAAAAAAAAGATTATGTTTAGCAATGAGAAAATTTTTATAATAGAAGGAAAATTTAATTTCCAAAATGATTGTGTGTATGCACACAGCTCTAAAGAAGTCCAGGAAGTCACTGGAAGAGTGGAAAAGAGGTCATCACCCTTCCTCAGTGATAGTTTGGTGGGGAATTTGCTCTAATTGCACCACAAAGTTCCATTTTTGTGAAAAAGGAGTTAAAACAGCCGCTTAAAACTATCAGGACGATATTTTGGAACATATTGTCAAGCCTCTAAATGATACTCTGTTTGCTAGAAATCATTGGGTTTTCCAGCAGGATTTCACTCCAGCTCTCATCGTCAACTCAGCAGTGGCTGCAAAAGAACATTCCAGAGTTCATCTCTGCCCCGAGACAATTCCTTGTCTTTTCTCGCTTTTCTCAAGATTTGCTGTGTGCTGCTATTGATGACTGGCCACAGAAATTAAATACCTGTGTCAAGGCAAAAGGAGAACATTTTGAGTTATTTCTTTTTTGTTTTACTCTCTCTAGATATATATTTTATATTCTAATAAAACTTTTGAAAAAAATAATTTTTCTGTTGAAATCTGTATATATTTCCTTGTAACAATATTTCAATATCTATGATACTACTAGGTAGAGTCCTCCAAAATCACCTCTACACTGGTACAGGAGTGTAAACAGGCATTGGAGAAATTGGCTTCCTCCAAGAGAGTGGAACTAGTGTGGGCTCCTGGTCACAAGGGAATTAAAGGTAATGAGAAAGCCGATACCCTCGTAAAAAAGGGAGTGTAATCCCTATTATGAGTCCAGAACCTATGATAGGAATATCAAAGAAACATCGGAGAAAACGAGTCCTTGATCGGGTACAGAAAAGAAGAGGTAAGGAGTGGAAGCAATGTACTGGGCTCAGACAAGCCAAACACTTAATGAAAAATCCTGGCTCTCTAGAACTAAGTGGCTACTAGGCCTAGTTGAAAAGGATATCCGACTCATCATTGAGATACTAACTGGCGATTTCAGATTTAAAAGACATCTAAAGATTTGCGGGATAGTTGGTGATGAAGTCTATCATTTGTGCAAAAAGGTGCACTTGTTGAATTTAGTTCCCTCAATAGTACCAGTAGCAGTACTCAAATACAAGGTTACTACAACTTCTATTACATGAGGTTTTTCTCTTAGAAAGCTCATTTCAAAACTGCAGTCATTTATAGGAATCTCAGTTTTCGACAAAGTTGGTAAAAATCGATTGTTTGCATTGGTTTCGACAGTAGTATTTAGTCAAATTATGAAATTGTATGCTAATTGTGATTCTTTGTTTCATTAAAAAGTAACTTGTTTTGCTTGGGTGCACCAGACAAAAAAAAAGACTGTCTTAAAAATAGAGATGTTTTGGCTGCCAAAAGGTGTTCTGAGATGGTTCTGACCAGCAATTTATTTTACTACATGTTTGCATCCATGTATATAAGTTTCAAAATGAAAAAAAACTTACCTTATTTTAATTCTCAAGTGATTACTAATAGTTGAACCAAAAAACATACATTTTCCTGCGATTTCATATTAAACTATACAGACACAACGACAGACTTACAAACAAAATGGCTGTAGATGACAACACCATAAGGAGGCAACTGAAAAGGATAAGGAGCAGTGGATAAGAGATGTCCTTTCCTCAAGAAGTCAATAAAGATTTAGAAGAGGTGTAGTGGGTTATTTTTTTCCTCATGCCTAAAATGCCATTTTTCTAACGCATATGATACATTTGCTTATTGTAATATTAATAACAGATGCAAATTTAGATCTGGAGATTTCACCTTCTATTCATGCTCAAAAAGTAGACCTATAATGCTTGTGCTTTTTGCAATTGGACCAGCTTAAATTAATTAAAATTATTCTTAAAGTAGGAAGCTTATTTGAATATGTTGTTTTTTCACAGGTTATAACAATATTCTCTGCTTCAAACTACTACGAGACTGGATCAAATAAAGGTGCTTATTTAAAACTAGTCGGAACAGAACTTAAAACGCATTTTGTTCAGTTCATGTCAAGTACAAAATCAGGTCCATCAGTCCTTACTTTCAGGCAGCGAGTTGGTCTGATTGAAACTTCTGCTATCAGAGAACTTACGACCAAAATAAACAACTCTAGGAACAAACTTGTTCAACAATTTAGTACACATGACCCAGAGGCCAAAGGTTAGTTAAATACGATCAATTTGTTGAATTATTGAGAAAAAATAATAATAATAATATTTATCCATTTGTGCTCATTTTATACATTTTATCAAAGGTGTTATCCAGAGCCATATCACCTGGTTAACAATTCAGAATCTGTATTAAGCACTAAGGGATTGTCTTTGTACTTTGTATGAGATTATTTATTTTTCTTTCAGTATGGGTATGTAAGTAAATTATAACAAATAATTTGTTTACATTCAAAGAAGTTTTTATTGCCAACCTTAGAATAAATTCAACAACTTCCTAACAAAAGAAGAGAAGAAGTAATTAGTGATTTAATATTATGAAATGTTACTTAATGGCTTTTATCAATAAACCAAGAATTAATACTATTTGCAAATATTAACTTTTAAGTGCCAAAAAACAATTTTGATGAGATAAAGTCCATACTGTGACTGGGGTTACTCCACTTGGATATTCATAAAATTCACCCTATCTGTGTTCCCCACCTCAAATCCTATGTTCCACTCGACCTCAGACAACTGCAAAACAATAATCGGAATGAATTTTGACCTTCCCACTCTGGTTAGAACGATTTTTTTTTTTTAAACTGGTTTAGGGATAATTAAATATAGTACATTGGAGATAGTAACATTGTGGAGATTTTGATGTGCAAGTTCTGAAAATAATGCATTATTGATCAAAATATTTATTGTTCACCAGTTATCTGAGGTTCTTTACTTGAAGAATATGAAAAATAAAGTGTCTATCCAAGTATAGGCATATTTGTTATCACATACACTTGGTTAAGCTACTTTATCATGTAAAATAGATTCAACTGAAAAATCAAGAAGAAAAATCCAGTATTCAGCTTAGATTTTTTGATCGAAAACATATGACTTAAAAGCATATGACAACAGAAACATATGATCAAAAATCGTTTATATTATTTTCTACCTTAATTGAATCGGTAATAATGACAACAGTACATGTTCCAAATCAGCTTTTTAAGGTATCTGCAGTCAAAGGTTTGGTTATCATGTGAACCACCATCAGTGTGTTTTAAGGATTGATTAATTATCAGATATTATACTTTCAGGTTTGATCAACCTGGCAATGCTATTATTTTGTGTTAAAAAAGAACTTGATATGAACATAAGGTTAAAAATTAAATTACTGGACTTGTAATGTTTTTATTCTCAGCATAATTCAATAGAAAAAATTAGCTTAATTCATGTGAATCATAATGGTAAATCATCTGAAATAAAATGTGATTGTCAATGATTGTGAATGCCAAGATTAATTTCAGAGAGAAAAACAAAAAAATACTCATTTTCTTGTTTTTTTTTGTTGTTCGGTAGTCTTCCATTCTTTGATACTTTGGTAGAACTATAGGCAAGTTAGAAGGTTGAAAAAATGAGTCCATCAACGAAGTCGTATGTTTTGACATACTCTGGCAGGGAAGCATCGTATTCAAATTTCCTGTACTCGGTAGTTGCAAAAGTTTTGTTCGATCCACTTATGATTGATTTTGATCACTTCTTGTAAACGAATGGCCACCACTGAAGTTGGTGAATAAATAGTAAGCAACAGATTTTACAGAGATAACAGGCTTTTTTTTCTCTAACCCAATTTGTGTTTGGGCAGCTGGAACAAACAGAGCGAAGAATATACTCATGTAAAACTTTAGACTTGAACTAGTGTGAGCAACTATTAAGAACAAGGACAGTATAAATCCATGGACTCGTACTGGTTTTTTCCTCAGTCATTTTCTATCAAGCTCAGTTTATGACCTACGAGTGTTAGCATACTGTTCTTGTGCTCAATGTTCTACAGTTTTCAACCTACAAAATACAATTTTTCCAAAATGGTCAAATTTGGACTTGTACTGTTTTCATTCTCATTGATTCAAATTAAAGTATCTTTTTTTTGTTTTCTTCTAAATATAATATAATGTTTACATTAATAATTGTTAGGAAGTCAGTCAAAAGTGGTTTTTATTTTATAAATATTTAAATGATTTCACATTGTTAAAAATATTCATATGTGAATAATTGTTATTGTTGTAAAAAATTCTAAAAGTCTCAAATTCTAAAAACTCTTTTGTAAAGTTCGTGATGAAATAAATATGAGTTTATTTCAAATACAGAGTACTCAAATTTATTTTATTTGAATCTAGGAATCAAATATAATGGTTAGTTATATATTGATCCTAACCCGAACAACAGTTAACAAAAAAAAATTTAAATACGATTTTTGTGGTTTTATGACATTTTATTACAGTAGTTACATACTACTTATATTTTTACAATTGTTCTTTTAGATTAACTAAACTAATTTTTAAATATGTTGCAATTAAAATAATTTGAGCAGAATGCTCTAATAGCTATTGGCAGACGTTAAATAAAAAAAATTATAAAAAATATTTGATAATATAAATTTAACAATTTTTTTTTATAAACAGGAGTGATCACCGTAACGGAGTGGTGTGATAGCATGATGCAGGTCACCGGACTCAATCTTCCATGGAGGATGTTGCGGAGTAAATTAGCAACCACTGATCCATCGACAGGTCTTGTCCATTATATGTCCACATTCCAAGAAAACATTACCAAAAGAGAGGTCAGTAAAGCATTAAGCTACCTCAGTTTTTTCAAGACTGCTTGTTTTAACATCTCAAATATGTGTAATTTCTCAGGATTTTCATAACTTTTTTTTTTAATTATTATTACAAGAACAAACTTAACAATTAATAATTGGTGAATGCATTACCATATGTCAATTGATTTTTTCTCAAAAATTTATTTCTATTTTAAAAAATCTTAATTTTGAAAGGTGGATCTCCTAAATTTAAGTTTAAAATGGAAAATTGTAGAAGTTTTCTATTAATAAATTTTCAAATGAATGTTATCTAATGGGTAGATGATGAACTAGCCAAAGTGCAACACCATTTTAAACTTTCCAAATGCAGCGGATAATTTTTTGGAAAACTAACTTTAGAAACATAGTAGTGAAAGGAAAACATACTTAAAACATCAATACTGGAGCTGAGAGTCCAATCACAGACCTTAACTGATCAAACCAAATGAAATACCTTCAAGTGTCCATCGAAAAAGAAAACGTTTATTATATAGAAATGTTATTAGAAAATCACTTTGTGAAAACAGTAAAGAGAATTTTAGAATGGTACAAAAACATAATTGAAACTCCTGTTCTTCTAGAATCCTAGAATGTATTTTACCAGATAATGTTTGTGAATCTGCCATTGCAGGTGAAGTTTTTTATAGAGATCTACGGTTGGAAATGATATGATTTTGTATATCTAAGATTTGTAAATTCCGTTAAATACAAATTTTGCATTAATCTTTTTTATGTTTATTTTCTATTGTTTTAAAAATACATGAAAGTAAATTAGTTAAGCTGATTTTAGAGTTCATAGGTGATAGTTATGAAACGAATTATTAGGAGTCATTTGCATCAAAAACTTCTATCATCATGTTTGGTTCAAAACCAGACAATTGTGAATCTTTCTTATAAAAATGTACCTCTTCATTTTCAATGTTGAGTATAACTAACTTTTCCAATCATATTGTTATCAACGAATCTTTCACAGAAACAATATTTAAGTTGAATTATGAAAAAAAAAAAATGAACAGAATTCTTTCAAATTAAAGCCCTACAATGAAAAATGGCCTTTTCTCAAAATTTCAAATGTCTGCCTTTGATAGAAGGTCACTCAGATTTTGTCTATTCAAGCAAATGTTTATTCGTATTTACTTCCTTTAACTAGTTTCACTCTATAATTCTCTTCCTAATACAATCTTTTGCCTCCAAACTATCTTAATTTATCAGTTAAGTTTGCGAATTGGTTTTTTTCCTGAATACAATTAATTTTATTGTTTAAATATCGATTATTTGATATTACTTTATCTATTGATTATTTGGATATTACTTTACCTAACTTTACATACTAAGTTTTCCACTAACTGACTAAGTTCTAAGTTTGAAATTAACATGTATATGTAAACAAAATAAACATAAAAGAATTAGAAAAAAAATTAAATGCAAAATGTTTACACAGATTTTTTGATTTGAATAAAATTAAAATACTTGCTGTTATCTAACTCTGATATTAAGCAAGATAAAGTGTTTTGAGTATTACTTTAAGCTAAAAAAATATTTCTAAAAAAAAGGAGTATTACTTACAAAAATTAAATGATGAATAAAGTGATATAAAATAAAGTGACAAAAATAAAATAAAGTGTTATTATTTTTTTAATATAAACAAATGATCAGTTCTTGAATTTTATTTATAGGAAATTCTATGTCATAAATTAACAATTAATTTTTACCAAAAGTTAATTCTAATGAAATTTTATCATTTCCATTCAGTGTTTAGGGATATGATGTTGATACAAAAAAGTTGTATTGATAAAATATGTAAAGATAGTAATTAAATGTCAAGATATCAAAGAACAACCTGTAGCAAGTCCAAAAAAAAAATAAAAAATAGTTCAAGATAGATGGAGATGGAAGAAGATATATAAAGCCTGTAAATTTAATAAAAATTAAATAAATAAAAACAATTAAAATAAATGCTTTTATTTTTTTTCCCATTTTTATTGGCAGTTCCGCTATTTCTCGTGTTACACAGTGTTGCATTTTGATTTCATCGTAATTGATCTAAAATAATGATGGCATATCTTTTTTTACAATCTCAGCAAATTCTTCATAACTTAGTCTCCAATCCTTGTTCGTGTCTCTTTTTTCAAAGAAATTTCCAATTCTTTTATCCCCTGCTTGGAAAAATCCAAGATAAAAGAGAGCCTCTCGAGCCTCGTGTAAATATATGTAGTTGTCAAAATCTTTATCGAATCTACAAAATGCATACTTCAAGTCTCCTAAAGCTGGATCCTTTAAACCTTTACTTAAATGTTCTTGGATCTCTCTCATTGAAATGTATTCATCCCGGTTTTCATCCAAGGCATCAAACATCTGAAACGTAATAATTCTCTTGTATTTTTCTATTAATATTTGAAATTTCTAACTTTTTTGTTGTTAACTAGGGTAAGTCCACCGTAAGTCGACCTAGCTGAGAAATTTTTTGGCTTTTGCCGCCATAATTATTATAGTTATAAACTTCTCCGTTGGGAATTGAGAATTTCTAGGGTCACCTTTTTCTATTTAACTCTTTAAAATTGAAAAAAATTCAGTTATGCAGTTATAACCTCCATTTAAACAAAAAAAAACACCTTTTTGCACTAGTGATTGACACACTGAAATTCAATTGTTCTAGTAATGGACAAGAGTTCGGTACCATTAATGGACATACCTCAGAAAAATTCTAAAATCTTTGTTTAACTATAAAGATAAGAAAACATAAATGTTCAACTTACTCTTAGCAAAACTGTTAGTAGGAAGGTATGAAACACACTTAAGAGCACTATAGAAACAACAATGATAGGATTTTAAAATTTTCTTTTGGAAACTTTGTTCATACAGTTGTCAATAGAGGGCATTGTTCTTCATTCTAGAAAAAAACTGGAACCTTTTATTCAACATGAAAGCTTTTTATTTACAATTAAAGTGCAACCTGTCCATCACTGAGCTCCCTGTCCATGAGTGAGTTACAAATTTATGGATCTTGGCCTAACTTAGAATAATAAAAAATATTAACTAATTAACTGTTGATTGTTATTGCAATTGGGCAGTAGATTGAAATTAAACAGTACAGATGAAAGTAATTTTACATGTTTGCGGAAGTTTGAAAGTGGAGTAGGTGATGAAACAGGAGTAGTTTGAAGGAATTTGTGGTCGAGGATTGAGGTATGGAGTTAAGAAGAGAGTTCCACGAGCACGAACGACGAAGGATTTGCTGAAGGAGATATATAAATCCATAGGTCGAGACCTAGTATTAAGAGGGTGGCTAGATGAGCGTAGAGTAAGGAGTTCCAGGATGCATGGAGGGTTTTTGGTTCTGAAGACTTGGAAAAGGAAAACACCAAGGAGGAATTGTGGTCCGGAAGTAGGATAAAGCCACTTCAACTCGGTGTACCAGAATGAAACACGTGAACGCCTAGGGATCCCGAAGATGTATCTTATGCAACGCTAGCGGATCCAGGATTTATTTTTGGGGGGGCTTCAGCCCGAAAGTTTGTTTTTTCATAAAAATAACGATAATTACTTTGGAAAAAAAGAAAGACACTAACTACCTATATGAAATTGTGTTTAAATGATTCCTAAAGCCCTTTTAAACGTAATTACAAGAACAATAATACTTTGAGAGATAATTTTTTAATATTTTTTTTCGATAAAACATGGTTTTATTTTCCCATTTTGAGGGGGGCTTCAGCTCGAAAGCCCTCCCCCCCCCCCCGTAGATCCGCCTGTGTTATGCAACAGTTTATGAGTTTCTTCAGTCTCATTTCTAGCCTGGCAGATAGACCTCCATACACCAAACAGCCGTTTTTGTATATTTTTTACAATTAAAATAGTACAATTTTGTACTATTCTGTTATTCTAAAGGGACTATGTCCCAGAATAAAGTTATTTCGTATTTATCAATCAGACTGACACCATTTCAGCTCAGTTGACGCTAAGATAAGCAGCGTAGATCTGGTTCAGTTTTCATTAATAAAAATGTGGGTCATTAAAAAAGCTTATTTATATACCGTTATCTTTTATAGAGTCGGACGTCACGGAAAATTAGCGATATAATAATTACTTCCTAGTGCCGCCTGAACATCGTTTTGAAAAAAGTAAGAAAAATATAAGTCAACCACTTACAAAAATCAAGGAAAAATATTACGAACCTATAGATTTGTTGAGAAAAAAAAATATCAAAGGTGGACATAGTATCATTTTTAAAAAGTCGAGAAAACGCCAATTTTTTTAACATCACTTCAATTTAAGCCAATTCAAATGATTTTTTTTATCATGATTAAATTTGAACAGTCTTAAATAAATTAACCATAAACAGTTTAGTTTGAACCTAAAAAAAATTAAAATGACTTTTTCTCTACTTTCTGAAAATGATAGATGTTCGTCTTTGATATGAGGCCACTCAATATACACATCAGCTATACATAATTTTTTCTATAAGTAATTTGTGTTATTATCCACTTGTATTAAAATTTATTTTAACGCCATTTGACAATTTTAAAAAGAAATCAGTTGAAAATCGTTTATAAAAATATAAATCAAGACTATGAGAACTATTTATTTTAAATGAAAATCATGAATTTACAATAGTTATGAAGCCTACCTAAACTAACTTATCTAGTAGTAAGGTTAGTCTCTCCAGCACTTTTACTTCAGTCTTCTCACTTCTCGTGATTGAAGCTTTAATTTCCAAAAATCCGTTAGTCACGTCCATCAATACATCAATCAATCTTACACGATCAATCAGAATGTCAATAGTGCCTCGACATGTCATTCCTACTTCAATGTCACAAAAGATCATCGCTGGTCTACCTTTTTTTGTATGTATATATTAGGATAATTACTTCGGAAGAAATAAATTAACTACCCATTTGAAATGGTGTTTAAGTGATTCTTTAAGTTCTATTAAATGTAATCAGACGAACAATAATACTTTTAGAGATAAATTGATTTCATAAGACATGGTTATATTATACCATTTTTGGGGGGGAGGGGAGGGAGCTTCAGCCCAAAAACCCACCTCTCCCTTCCCCATAGACCCACCTGTGCTTGGAATTACGAATTACCGAGATTGTTCTGTAATAAAAATATTGCTTATAGTTTATGAAATATTTTATAAAAGTTCATCAATAGCATATGATACTAACGGATTTGTTTAAATTCAAATTTTGATCTAAAAACTTAAAAATAAGTTATCTTCTTATTTTTCTTTTGGCAGTTTTATTGCCTAAAATATGAAAAAATTAAAAATAAGATGAAATCTTATTCTATAAACATATAAATTCTTATTGAATAATACCTCGCGAAGATCTAATGCATCCAGTTTTCTTCCCAGCAATAAACTTACGAAATGGTTAAATTCGGCCGTATTTAGTCTGTCCAATATATCCTTATTTGCGATGGCATAATATTCGTTAATTTTTTCCAAATGTCCTTCCCTATAGTTCCTGGTCGATGAATGTTTAATAAATTTAGAAAAAGGGGTTCTGACTGGCTTAAGTACATTGGTAACGTTCTTGAATGCGCCAATGAATCCTCTTGATAAAATCCCTCCCAATGCCATGATTTCTGTTTTGATGATTTTCTATCTTCTATGTACTTTGAGAAAACTGCCAATTTTTTTTTCACCCTTGTTCTTGGATCTGAAAAGTTTTCGAAGGCTTTTAATTAATTCATGTTTGTCACCTGTTTATAATCATAACATAAGCTTTTTATTATTTATGTTTTTAAAGATTAAAATTACGAATTTATAAATTAATAAGCGTTAGAAAAATATTAATAAATGTAATATTAAATCGACTTGTTTATTTTATTTGTATTATTGTTATTATTTTAGTTCTTTTGCCTTCTTCCAAAGTAGGACCAAGGTTGAGAACAATTAAGGTGGCTGTGACAACAGTATACTTTTAGTTCGATTTAATTTTTTATTTTTAATAATAAATCTTTTGCTTTGAGGTATGGTATCAATATCTGATGTCACCCGAGGATGATCTTCGAAACTCTAAATTACCATTCGACCTTCTGTTTTAAAATATTGGCCGAATAATTTGTATCGCTGTAGACTTTAGCGCCAAAACCGATGTATAAATTTTGACGAAACTTCCCCGGAAAGAAGCTGGAGACAAAGTTACAATGAATAAATAATTTCGTTCACAAATATCTCAAAAACTATACACTTTTTGGTGGATTATGATTAATGGCATTCATCAGTTTACACGTAGAACCAATTGAAATGCTTTTATCTATTAAAAGAAAAATCCAAACTCACAAATACTCCTAGTGGAGCATAGGGCATTTACGAGTGTTTTTTTTTTTTACTGTTTCTTGTTCTTCCATAACCAAAACATTATATTTTTTTAAATATCAAGAACGCATTGTAATAACATAGCATTACAAAATTGTAATACGATTCTCCAAGCCTTGATTTTCTCAATAATGCACAATTTTTTTGTGAATTTGTTGTCACAAGATTCAATTATTCTTCTTCGTAAGGAATTCAGGTCATTGACCGGACTTGTATAGACTTTTTGTTTAATGTCACTCCAAACAAAACAATCCAGTGTTGTCAGGTCTGTAGAGCGTGCAGGCCAAGCCACTATTCCTGCACGGCCAATCCATTGATTGGGACATGGGATATGATTGAGCAAGTCCGGTCAATGATCTTAATTCCTTACGAAGAAGGATAATTGAATCTTGTGAAACAATAACACATATCCAGTGCCGTTCTGCCACTGCTGCTGCTGAAGAAAGATGCCGAGCCTGTCTTAATGCTCAAGAAAATCAATTTGAACAATATTTAATATGACTTTTAATGTTTACATTTAATAAATAAAGTAGTTAGAACAAATAATTTTATTTATTTAATATATCGTCAATAATAAAAAAACACGAAAATCTTTAGGTTTGAATATCTCCTAAACAAAGCGTTTGCGGACATACCTTCAGAGGATTTTTTTTTCTTGTTTTGAGGTCCTTAATTTTGCAGTTAGGCCACTTAACCTACAACACCATTTATAGGCCAACAGCCCAATATTTTTTTGTGTCTCAAATTTGTGATAGCATTATCTTATGATACGAGTGGAAAAAAAAATCGTTATTTATGATATATTAATACCTCATTAAAGAAATTAATTCAATGAGAAAATGCCCTATTTTGGAGAATTTTCGTAGATAAAAAATGTGTAGTTTACGGCATGAGGAAGGAATTCAAGAAGTTTTAGGCCGATGTTAATAATTTGATGAAAAAAGGGGTCTGTACTACGGACTAATAAGTTCGCTCTGTTGAAGGAGAAAAGATCATCATATACTATAAAACTAAATCGAATAAATCTTCATAACATTACATTTGAGAAAGTTATTAGAGTAACAATCATAACAATTAATTAAAACTAGTTGGCCTGTGCGAATAATTAGCAGAAAATTTTCTTTAGTGAAGAAATAGCAAAAAAATATAGAAATAAGTAGATCCTATGCATTGTGTAAGAGGAGAATTAGTTTTTTTCCTCGGTCGATTACAATATTCCATTTAATATAATAAACCAAAATATTGGTAAAAATTGCTTTGCTGGAGCCTATTTCTAAACGCTGACTGAAAAGGTAACATTAAAATAATTTTGTAAATTATAAAAAAAATAAAATGTACAAAAAAAAAATGCTTTTAAGAAATAATAAAGCATATATCAGCCAAGAAAAAAAAAAGTAGTAGAATAGTAAATTCAGTATCTTTAAAAAGGAAGAAATTATTTAGTATACCAAAATTAATCGACTGAATATTTGTTAATAATTGTCCCATTTTTTTTTCTTTTGTTGTTAATTTAGTAATCTTTCTAATAATCATGGGTACTATTAAGAAAAAAATGCATACTTTTTTATTTATTCGCAAATATATTTTTTTTTTCTTCATAACTTTCTCCAGAAATTTCGGGAGGATAGGACTATGTTTCGCATTTGAATGAGAATAACTTTTTGATTTTACGCGTCTATAAAGAATAAATAAATAAAAACTCCTAACAGCTTTTTATTTTATAACTTCAGTTCTAAATTATTTAGGGGGTACAGTTTGTGTTATTTCGTGTAGTTTATAAGGCTCTATATACCTAAAAAATTTCGTGTGGATAGGTGGGAAGCATATTGAAGTTATCATACTTTTTTTGATTTTCGAAAAAAAAATCGAAGGGGTAGATTTGTATCAAATAGGTCAAATTTGTAGAAAAAAAATTGTATTTTTCGATCGCTATGAAAATTTGTATTCGAGGATCTTTCAAGCTGCCGAATATAAATCTCAACTCTGTTTCTCCTTAAAAAAATATTTGAACACTCCTTCGGTCCGTACAAATCGTTTAAATTTTACAGATTTCTAATCGATTTTGTTTTTGTTTTATAGGCAATTTAGTTATCTTTCTAATAATCATAGGTACCATTAAGAAAAAAATGCATACTTTTTGAGTTATTCGTATATAAATTTTCTTTTCCTTCATAACTTTTTTCTCGGAAATTCCGGGGGAATGGGACTATTTTTCCCATTTGAAGGAGAAGAATATCTTTAAAACGAGTGGTCAATCATTGGATTTGATGAAGAACTGATGAAGTTATGGCCTACCGACAAAAAACACCTTTTAGAAATAATATATAAGATACTCACCGTGTTCAGCTGGTTTTCAATCTTTTATTGCTCTGTGATTAAAATTAATCTCGAAATCACATATGTACTGTTCACAAAATGGTTCCTCTGTCATCTGTCATCTGTTTTGAACACACATGACACAACTGAAGTAGAATTTATAACAGACATACATGATAGTACTAAAATTTAATAAACTGACGTTGTAACAATAATTTCTGAAGAATATTTTACAATACCTCTTTCAATAGTTCTATAAATAATTTATTAATACAATATTAATCCTCAAATAAATTTATTTATTTATACATAAGTAACGAAAGATGTTATAAGCTAGTCGATAACAAAGAAAATACGCTTAAAATTATTACATAATGGTTTATTATTTCCAAAAATTTATATGTCAAATGTTCAACAATAATTCATTTGACACATATAGAATAATAAATAAAAGGTTATTTCTTATACTGATTTAAATAATTTTTATTTTATTATTATAATATGCTAATAAATATAGAGAATAATTTCTAATCCTTCGGTTTATGTAAGACTTTTCAAAAAACAGAACAAAGGATTTCAGCTCTACAAAAAAAGATGTGGAAAATATTTTGAACAACATATATTTGTATTAAATCATCCGATTTCGACGATTATTTTTTTGTTTTTTAGGCAATTTCGTAAATTTTTAAATATCCATGTACAACACGTTTATACATTTTGAGTTTTTCAGAAATCTTATTTCACCACCTCTCGTATCTATTTCTCCAGCTTCTTTTCGGTGAAGTATATTATATAGATAAATTTAAATGGATTCGAAGAAGACTTTAACCGAGTTTCATGGAAATAAGAACATTCGTATAGGCGCTGCAGTTTATACTACATGCAGGAGTGTACATTTCGGTGAAGTATTTTCTACCTGTACCTAGTTGTGCCATAAATACTGTTACCAAAGTTGAACTTTGTTTACATCCATGGGTATCATTTAGATAATCCTTACCTCGATCATGTTATTTTCTTTACATGTCAGGGTAATAGCCTCAATTAGTTTGTATTTTTCTTTCGCTCAGTTAACATGGAGTGGGCTGATAAAGAAAACCGAATAGCTGTGATCGCTATTGGAAAATGTAGGTCAGAGATTTTCAACACTTTGAAACCTATAGGTATCAGCCGTATGCTCGTGTACCGCACTATAAATAGATATAATGAGACCCTATCTGTATGTGACAGACCTTGACCGGGCCGTCCCCGCACTGTGAGAACGGGAAATACAATGAGAGCAGTGACTGCTCATTCGAAGAAATCTCATTCGAAAACAACTAATCATGTCTCGGGAAATGGAAATCTCTGTCAGATTAATGTCTCGCATAATAAAAAGTGACCTTAGGATGGGTGCATTTCGAACAATGACAGGACCAATGCTAACCACTTCAATAAAAAAAAATATAGTGTATAGATGCAAAGTGCTGCTTGGCCGTTACACCAATGGTCTTCATCGAAAGATTTTGTTTTGCGATGAGAAAATGTTTACAATTTAAGAAAAATTCAATCGCCAAAGTAATCGTGTGTACGCACACAGCTCTAAAGAAGTCCATGAAGTCATTGGACAATATCTTGGAACTTGTTGTCAAGCCTCTAAATGATACTCTGTTTGCTGGAAGTCATTGGGTTTTCCAACAGGATTCCGCTCCATCTCACAAGGCCAGGTCAATTCAGCAGTGGCTGCAAAAGAACATTACAGAGTTCATCTCTGCCTCAGATTGACCCTCTGGAAGCCCAGATCTCAACCCACTAGAAGATTATCGTCTTTGGTCCGAACTGGAGAGGATGGCATATCACAAAGCAAACTTAGAAAGTCTCAAACAATCTCTGGTCCGAGCGTGCTGCGTGTCTATTGATGACTGGCCACGAAGTTTAATGCCTGTGTCAGGGCAAAAGGGAGCCATTTTGAGTAATTTCTTTTTTTGTTTCACTCTCTATAGATATAAATTTTATTTTCTAATAAAGTTTTTGAAAAAATTTAATGTTCGGTTGAAATCTGTATATATTTCCTTATAATTATATTTATGGCAGAACTAAGTACAGATAAATTTAAAAGGCTTTGGGGGAAAGACTTTGGCGAAATTTCATTTAAATCGTTACATCCCTGTAGGCACTGCAGTCAATACCAACTTAGGTTTTCGGCTATTATGTTGAAAGAATCATCCTGAGGTAACCTCTGATATTGACACCAAATCTGAAAACCATCGGTTCAGTAGTCTCGAAGAAAAATCGCGGAAGGTAGACTCAAGAAATTATTTGTATTCTATTTTAGGATTCTACGTATCTTGAAAAGTAAAACCTCAAATTTTGAGGTAGATTTAACCTTATTTTTTCTTGATTGATTATTGAAAATAATAAACAAAAACGAGGCTTTAAAATAATTATATATTTTTAAAAAGTTTATCTTGAACATTAGAACGGTAAAAGTTTCGTTTTGCTAATGGTAGATAGTATTGACATCCACAGAGCTTGATTTATAGGTGTAGTTCAGATTAGGTTAAGTTATATTTATACCTTTACAATACATAAATAATAAAATAAGTAATAAGAAAAATATCTTCTGATAAAAAATAAGTAGATATAGCTTATTTACCTTTAACAGAAAATGTTGTTGCGTGATTTAAATTAAATTGAAATTCCCAACCAACGATAGATCTAGAGGAAATAAAAAAAAATAAAAAAAATACCTATAGAAAAATCACATAACTTATACTAACAATCCTTCTTTTAGCAGAATTAAGTATTTTATGATGAAGCTAAGTGTCAGGTGGTACAAAATATTATTTAAAAAACTTAATTACCACATGTTTTCACAGCTGTCTAATCTATTTTTTTTTAACTTACCATTTCGTGTCACGACTGTATATTTTATTTACTTGTTTGATCATAATAAATAATTAAGTGCCACGAAATAGTTTTAGTCTGACAAGAGTGCCATTGATAAAGTATGCCGCTATATTCATTTATATTTTTTTGTACGTATTTGTTTAAGCATTGGTGTATGTACAAATTTAAATTTTTATATTGCCGTAATTAAAGTCGCACTATATGAATATATGTATATACTATATGTATATACACTATATGTATATAATATTATCGGAACACATATTATACTAAGAATGTGTTACGTATGGCAGCTTAATCTAACCCTTCAGACAAGTTCGGATGTACGCTCGTGTTTCTTCGGGTCCTTATTACAGTATATTAGCTCACCTTTAGTTAATCATCAAATTCTTTAATATTTTATTTTTAATCCAAAAATACGTAATTAAAATTAAATTGAAATTTCCACTTACCACTGATAGGTCTAGAGAAAATACATATAATAATAAAATAGTAAATATAGTTTTCTAGAGAGCGGGGATGGCCGAACGGTCTAACGCCTGTGCACAGCACCACGCGTTGTATGACAATCCGAATAAGATTATGTGATAAGATAGATCGCTTCTCGTTTCCAATGGGGGCTTTTAACTCTGACATTAATCCCCTGACCAGGGAAAACCCCCGTATATCCTTAAAGGAGAGGAAGGGGACGACAAAAATAAAAATATAGTTTTCTGAAATATTGTTAAACATTATTAGCGTTCATTTTAGAAATAATCAATTATTTTTTAGGATTCTGATCTGATAATCGGGCTATTATTAACCATTAATAATTATTGTTACAAAGCTTTGAATTTTCACAGCGACCGAATTTGTCTATGTTTTCTCCGTTTCACAGTTTTTCTTATCCATCGTTGAGGTACAAAATTATAATTTATTTTTATAATATAATCAGTGGTAGATGGGAATTTCAATTTGATTTTCATTACGTATTTTAGTATTGAATATAAAATACGAAAGAATTTAATAATTAAATAAATGTGAAGGTGAACGGTGAAATGAGAGATCGTAAAATGGAATCGAAGAAATTCAAACATAGCCGAAGGGTAAGACCGCGTTACACTCAACCGCGTCACTAGTAATAATAATAATAGTAATAATAAATGATACCAATAATTTAAGAAAATTCTTTTTGTTTTAAAGTTTTAAAGTTCCTTTAGGAAATTCTTTTTTTATTGTTTTTATGAAAATTTTTTTCTTCAACCTGCATCTTGGTTTGCAAGATATCCGTGACTGAGTGACTGGCTTAGGTATCCCCCTTGAAAATAATCCCGCCATATCCTCCTTTACAATGGCTACGAATTCTTCAAAGGTGATCCTTCCGTCGTTGTTCTTGTCCCTGGCGCAAAAGAACTGATCAACTTTCTTATCTCCTGCTTGAAAGAATCCTAGATAAAAAAGGGCCTCTTTCAGTTCATGTAAATGCATAAGATTGTCATAATCCTTATCGAACTTGCAGAATGCATAAGCTAAAGTATTCTTCGTTTGTTCATATTGTGCTTTATTCAAATGGTCCATAACATCTGTGAATGAGATGTATTCGTCTCTATTGATATCGAGTTTTTTGAACAGCTGAAACGTAATAATTTAGTCTTATTTTCCTATTAAATGATTAAAATTCGTTAATTATATTTTATTTCTTAGTCTTGGTATGAAAAGGTTTTAACTAACAAATTGAGCTTTCACTCAGAAATCACTCACAACAAAGTTATCTATCCATCTATACATCTAGTTATCTGTCTATATCTATGTCCTATATGAATTTTATTGTCATCAGTTTAAAAATAAAGAAACTAGCAGCGTGACATAGTTTTAACTACAGACAATTTTCTTTTTAAGTAATTGGATTCAGAAGTTCTAACAACTATAACATGTAGCTGTTTTTTATTTATGCTTATTTTAATGAGAATTGACACGAAATTATATCATTTATATTAATTGTAAAAATATCTTGTTTATGTATAAAATATGTGAATCTGTTAATTAAAAAACGACACATGTTTTATTTTTACAATTTTTTTGAAAAAACACAAAAAAAACTAAATTTTAGGAGATACAAAATCTAAAGGGGACCCTACACGGTCAATCGGATTTGCACTAATGACGTTCCGAATTGTCGTGTAAGGTAGTGAATGAAGTACTGATGGTGGTGCGGATTTCAAAGATTCATTCACGAGAAGTGGAGGGGGGACAAAGGTAAAAGTAGTGGGGAGACTAACCATACTACTGGATAGGTTAGGTTACCTAGGCCTCACAACCATTATAAATTTCTGATTTTCATTATATCTAAATAGTTAAATAATTTTTCATATCCCTTGTCTATAATTTTAAACCATCTTCAACTATGTCTTTTAAATAGTCAAGTGGGCAACAAATTAAATAAAAAAATGAGGAAATTTCACAATTTACTTTAGGAAAAAAAAATTTTAACTGTTGTGTTTATTTGTCATTAATTTTTCCATTTTACTTAACAAATTTATTATTTTCGCAATACCTTTCCTTAATTTTTGTATGTAGTAGACTTATATTTTACTAACTTTTGTCAAAACGATTTTCTATGAGACTAACCTTACTACTAGATAGGTTAGTTTACCTAGGTCTCGTTATTAAGTAAATAATTTCATAAAAGTAAATAGTTGTTTATATCCCTAGTCTGTATTATTATTAACCATTTTCAACTATTTTTTCTTTAAATAGTCAAGTAGGCAATAAATTGGAGAGAAAAAAAAGTGGAAACTTCACATAAGTAATGATCAGTAATGATTGATCGTGTAAGGGTCTTCATGAACAAAGCGATAGCGGGCAATCTTGGAACTTCTTGTGACGTTCATTCATGAATTACCGTGTAGGGTCTGCTTAAAAGAAATGTATAATGAAAACAAAAAAAAAATATTGACATTATTTTAATTAGTTCTTTTCAATGCACATATTAGATGGTCAGATTTTTCTTTTCAATTTTAGTCTGGTGTAATTTCTGCAAAAAAACAAAAAAAAAAACATTTCTCTGTCTGTGATAAGATTTTCTCGGAAACTAGTGAACCAATTTCGTTGCTTCTTTTTTATTTTGTAGGGTTTTGACTACGGATGCCTGTGACACAAATTGGCGCAATAGCGGCTGCGCAATAAGTGAAAACCATGTTTTTCTATAGAATGTAGCGCAAAAACGGCTCCAACGATTTTGATGAAACTTTCCTATAATGTTCTAATAATTCGTCTTTTACAACTATTCAATTTTGTATGTAAGGTTTGGTTAGAGCAGTTGAGCGCTTTCCTCAACAAGTGCTACGTGCTGCTATTGATGACTGGCCACGGAGATTAAATGACTGTGTCAAGGCAAACGGGGCAAATTTTGTGTAATCTCATTTTTGTTTTACTCTCTATAGATATACATTTTATTTTCTAACAAAGTTTTTGAAAAAATTAATTTTTCTGTTGAAATCTCTTATATATTTCCTTGTAACGCCTAAAAGTGATGCCGGCTTGCATATGCCGGATGCACGTGCCTTAGTATAAAACATTTTTTTTTAAATAAAATGTATTTTATATATTAATAAGCATAAACTGTCTAAAAAAAAACCAACACTGTTTTACTATTCAAAAAATCTGGTGCGCGCATCATACAACTTTCAGTTGCCGCTCTACTTTGCATAGAAATTATTTTCTGGAAATATTGGGCTATTACAAAATTTTTGAAGTTAATTTTTAACCGAGCTAAAGCTTTTATGTTTATATTTGGATGAAGTTGTTTTGGTATAATTTTCTCTTTCTGTGATTAACGGAACGGATATATAATATATGTATGTATGTAGATCTGCAGATAAACTGTTCTGCCCTATCTGTAAATATAAGATAATATAGATTTCATTGGTACATGCTCCGTGTTAAAATAATTCCGAAATATCTATTTCGGAAAAAATATTACTTAACAGCACTGAAGTAATGGATTATCTTAACGGAAAGGACTGGGACAGATTATAAAAATACTCGACTATGGCATTCAAATATAAAAAACAAATGATAAACGAATTCAATTATTAATACGTTTGCATTTATAAACAGAACATACGTTTATGTAAATATTTATGAACTGGGTGATGTTGGATTATTATTACAATTTATAATAATATTATTATTTATATTGCTGTTCTGTTGTTATATTGTATGCATTCGAATTTTATATGGATTTGGTATATAGGAAATGGGAACTACGTGTATGTATGCTCAAAATGTCTTGCAATTTATTTTATATTTATATTCAGGTATAATGCTGCTCTTTAGTTATGAGAAGCAAATCTTGTAATACTACAGATTATAATTTTTATTATTAATGTAAAAGTGGCCAACCGGGCAGACGGACAAATAGCCCATTGCTTAATGTGTGTAAGTTATCCTGTAAAATCATAAACATTTTTTTTATCTTAGCCTTTAGTAAGGCATATTGTTATAATGTAATTTATTTTGTAATCGAAATAAAACACACTGTTATTATTATTATTATTATATGTATGTGTATGTGTATATATGCATATCATTTGAATCTAAGGAGGTGAAATTAAGGTTTTTTTTTCTACCTTAAAAACTTGAATAAACTGATTTAAAATATCAGCATATATAAGCGTTTTCTGTTTTTAGAATTTTGTGCAATGTTGAGAGTGAAATTTTGTATGTTTATAAGTTCGTGTTGACATATTATCCTATCTTCAATGACAGTTGTAAAAAAAAAAAAAAAAAAAAAAAATATATATATACGAAGAGATTCCATCTTATGCCTCACAGAAAGAAAATATTACAAACACTTATATGAACAGGACCCCTTAGTCTGTAAAATATTTGAATCTACTTTTTTTTTAAAACTATATTTATTGAGAGATCTTACAATCTGTCCCAAATAAGGACATTTCTAATAGTGTTCAGAGAGCACATTGACCCTCTATCAACAATAAATAAAAATGAATAATACATTATAATGTGTATAAACTAAACCAAACAAAAAGAAACTAAACTAATAAAAACAGCTACTCACATACACAAATTCATATTCATAAAAGGTCTTTGTGCCACTGCCGCTTCAACCTTCGAGGTGGATTGTAGGGATGGGTTGTGCTGAATAGGGATTGTGCAAGGGGATTTGGATGATAGGTAAGGTTCTGGTGAAATGTGGAGAATTTTTCTGGGATCAAGTCTAAGACAAATGGGATATTAAGGTCATGGTGTAGGATTTGGTTGGTTACATAGAATGGAGCACCAACTGTTGTTCGAAGGACTTTAGATTGAATACGTTTGATGCTAGAAAATTTTGTTGTTCCCTACAGTTCAAGTCCGTATGTCCACATAGGTTTCAGGATTGTCTTGTAGATAAGTAATTTATTTTCAATTGAAAGTTTAGATTTTCAGTTCGGTAGTCTGTATAATTGGCCATATCGTCGGTTGAATTCGTGTCTTTTGAGTCTAGTATGTGGGTTCCATGTTAGTCAATCTACTTTTAAAGTATTTATAGTATAATTTATTGTTTAAAAAGGATCAATATGGTCCCTTCAAGGATCAATATTTATAATCTTAATTCTATAATACCCCTAAGTATTGCTAATTAAGATTAATTTCTACCTTGGATAAATCATGTCCTGCCCATTTTCGACCTGTAGACAGAGAAATGAAATAGTTGAACTCGGCCATATTCATTTTGCCTAAAATATCCTTGTTTGCCAAAGAGAAATTAAGTTTGATCCTTTCCAAATCTTCAATGGAATACTGTCTGAAACGATTGCCTACTATATAGCTTTTTCCAGATGTTTGTATATTCATTGGTTTAAATAATTCTATGGGTTTCCTGATTAGCCACATGAAAGATCTAGGTAGAGTTCCGTGTAGTGTCATGATGTTTTTGTTTGCTGAAAATTTTCTATGATGTATGATTCAGTGTCATGTAGGAATTATTTCATGATTAACTTGTAAACAACAGCTGTTTATTATCATATGTTTATTTTTAATATTAAAACGTATGTTTTGCTTATAAACCTAATCTCAACTGAAAATTCTGGTAATTTATCACCTTCATAATAAATAAAAAAGTCTGTAAAGTAAGGTCAGTATAGCTTCCTCACCGTTTTCATTGACTAATCAATATCTATATTTCAAGGTATATAATTTTTCGTATGGGAACAATATATTCCGAAGAAGGTGTTTTCGGAAATACAGTAGTCCTTCAAGACATTCACGATTTTTGTTCATCAACGAATACTAAAATGCGGAATCGTTCAACATTGCATATTTATTAAAAAACGTGATAAAAACATTTTTTCCAGTACTTGAATATCGCTATTGTTAGTAAAAAGGTCGTATGTAAAAATGTATTGTTTTACAGGAGAGTACAAAAACTAATTATTTCTTTATGATTTATTAGTACAATTTCATCTTTTATTTCCCTCTGTTGTTTTCCATAGTAGCAGGCTAATTATATCAGTTGCAGACTACAAAATCTCACTTTTAGCACAAATAGAATAAAATTGAAAATTTTTCCAAAAGACCTTTTGAACTAACAGTTGCTATATATATTAAATAATAGGTATGTTTTCACAAGTAAAATGGGTGGAACAAAAAATCCATTGGAAAAATTCAACTTTTTGTCTGTTCGGAGTTAACGAGACCAATATTTTTCTTCAGTCAGAACAAAACTAATTTAAGCTGGGATATAATAATACGAGTGAAGTTCACATAATTTTGGTGTTCAAGGAAGAAATCGAGACCACGACGAGCTGGTTGAACTTCAATAGAAATAAACAGAATCACAAATAAGATTTTTTTTTTTTACAAACTCAGAGTAGAAATTAATTTATATTTACTGAAAAATATACGAAATCTACGTAACGGCAGTAAGTGTCATGCCAGTAATGTTTGAAATGGACCAAACAATACAATATAAATTAACTTTTTGAATAGAGCTGGATGGAATTTGATAAAATTGATATGGTACCATCTAAACGCTATCCCACACGATTCCTAAAAATTTCATGAAAATTAGGTAAATGGTAGTACATGATATGATCGTTACATATTTCACTACAGATAGACAGACACCGAACCAAATTTGAACCGTGATGTCTGAAACGTAAAACTCGAGTGGAAATTTTCGATTTGCCGCTAATGACCCGATCGGGTAGATGCGGAATGTAAAAATAAATAAATAAATTTTCGATTCTGAGCACAAAATTTTTTTTAACTTCTCGCACGAATAAAGCTTCCCTATCTTAAGTAGTAAGAAAGCAAAAAAAAAATTCATTAGTAATTATAGGATGTGGAATACAATAATTAATTTATACAAAAAAAAAACGCGACAGCTGTTTAACCAAATGCTCAGTTAAATAAGAATAACCCTATGTTATGAAATCTAAAATGTAGTCTGTATTATAGTCCCTGATACAGACCCCTTTTTGCCAAATTATTAACATACGCTTCGTGAATAGTTTCATCTCATCGTAACCTAAAACTGTTATATTTACAAAAAACTCTTGGAATTGGAGCGTTTTCAATCTAGAAATCGGAGATCGCCGGATTTTGTCAATTTAATTAGGTACTGAAAAACTCGTAAATATCCGTTTGATTTTCACTTGGATCGTAAGATAATTTGATCATTAAATCGAGAAAAAAGGTGGCCTCCAATTATATTGGGCCGTTTGGTCTGTTTAACCTCGTTATTTTGACATTTGAGGGTGTAGGTTTCACACCAAATGGCTCAATATTTAAGAAGGCCATATTTTGTTCTTAATTTTATGTACAAATTATTATACGATTCAAGTGGAAAATACACAAATGAGTATTTACGAGTTTGTAGTACCTAATTGTGTAGTATAAGATTGTAACCTCTATGTATATTCAATTGTAATATAATCGATTACATATGTTGATTAGATTAAGATAAGACAGACAGTGTAATTTGTAATAAACAATAAAGCACACCTACGTTTGTTCAAAAGTATTTTTATTAATTAATCATACATTGTTGATATTAGAATAGAATTGTTGCCGGTGCCATCAGAGGATATAAAAATCTTGCAAGAAGCTACCAGGGAGGATTTCAGTGGACTTAGAAATTATATCAGGAATGCTTGGGAAGGAGTTCATAAAAAGTGTTTGGAACGTGAAATAAAGGTTTTTTATGGGCTCCGGGACGAACTTTCAGAAAATAAAGGAATTTTATTTTATAATGATAGAATTATTATACCACTGAGTCTCCGACATCACTTCGTAAGCCAGATTCATTCTAAAGCTCATATTGGAATAAACAAAACCGTTTCCCGTATCAAGAGCCTTATGTATTGGCCAAATATGTCCGAATACATTACAAACTTCGTAAATTCATGTTCCACCTTGTCAAACCTTCCAAAACAATAAACCTAAAGAACCTCTTATAACATCTGAAATTCTTAAATTTCCGTTTCAAGTTATTGGTATGGGCATAGGCGAGTGTAATACGAAAATTTTTTTGGCTGTAGAAGATTACTACTCAAGATGGTTGGATATTATACCACTCAAGAATAAAACATCCACTGAAATTATTAAAAAACTAAAAATTCTTTTTAGTAACCATGGCACGCCTGAAATTGTACGTTGTGATAACAACCCGTTCAGTAGTGCAGAAATGGCAGCTTTTGCCAAACATTGGGGATTTAAAATTTGTATATCTAGTCCTCACTACCCTAGATCTAATGGTCTCTCGGAGAAAGGGATAGGTGTCGCGAAGAAGATGATAAAGAAAGTCTCTTATTCAGGAGGAGACATTTATGAAGCCATTATAGAATACCGAACAACTCCCATTTCTGGGCTCGAGTATTTTCCAAGCCAACTGTTGATGGGTAGAAGACTGCGAACCAGGCAGCATTGATCTCCTAATACCCAAAACACCAGACGATGAAGTGCGCCAAAGAATGGAGCTTCTAAAATTCAATAGTAAACTATATTATGACTCAACTTCTCGTCAATCAGAGGAGTTCAAGATGGGACAACCAGTTTATGTTAAATGGAAGGATCGATGGAAAGAAGGATCTATTACAAAGGTTCTCCCAGAACCAAGATCATATATGGTCAGAGACCAATATGACAACGAATATAGAAGAAACTCATCCCACTTAAGGCGCCTCACCATACTTAATCCTGATCCATTTCTTAAATTACCTAATACTAATCCTCAACTCAACCCAACTAATTCTGATTCTGACCCTCTACCCCAACCCTCTAATGCTTTATTTCAGGAGGAACAGAGACAGTCTCCGTTTCACCCACAGAATGGTTCCCTGCTTTTGCCAGAAGGACTGTCAATTTCCAATGATCAAGCTCAGCAGGCATCTCCAACTAGTGAAGGTATGCGCACTAGATCGGGCCGCCTAGTGAAGCCACCGAAAAGACTATGTGAGGATTAAGGGAAGGGTGTAGTATAAGATTGTAACCTATATGTATATTCAATTGTAATATAATAGATTACATATGTTGATTAGATTAAGATAAGACAGACAGTGTAATTTATAATAAACAATAAAGCACACCTACGCTTGTTCAAAAGTATTTTTATTTATTAATCATACATTGTACAAATTGAATAGACAAAGTTTGCCGATCTGCAGATTAAAAATGTCCCGATTTCGAGAATTTTTGTAAATAAAATAGTTGAAGGTTACTATGAGATGAAGCCATTTACGAAATTTCAAGCTGATGTTAATAATTTTCTAAAAAGGACCTGTACTAAGGACTATCAGATTTATTATTTAAATGTAATATAGTACTAAAAGGATTAGTAATATACATATATAAGTTAGTGTTACAAGAAGGAAATAGACGAAGAAAACGTCTGACAAGTAAGGTCAGTATAGCTTCCTCACCGCTTTCATTGGCTAAAATATATCTATATTACAAGGTAAACAATTCTTCGTATAAGAATAAAATTCCTGGGAGAAGCCGATTCGGAAATACAGTTACCCTTCAACATTCGCGGGTTTGATATCCACGAATTTCGTTTATCAGCCAATATTAAAATGCGAAAGAGTGCCGTATTTGAAGATTCCATATTGATTATTCTTAAAAACGTGATATGTCCGTTACATCGATTTGACTACAGACAGGCAGACACCGAACCAAATTTGATCCTTGATGTTTGAAACGAAAAACGTGAGTGGAAATTTTCTATTCTGAGCACAATTTTTTTTTAACCTCTCCCACCAATGCAATGCTTCCCTACCTTCCATAGTGAGGAAGCAATATAAACAATACTAAAACAGAATTTATAAATGATGAAACATCTGTTGTTTTATATGTATGTATATTTTTTGCAAACATCTGTCTTTTGAAATGTAACATTTTGAGATGTTTTAATGTTCTGTGTTTTGTGTGTTTTATTGGTTTATTAAATGTGGGATATCTTCTTTCATCAACTTTTTGAATTCTTCATAGTCAATTTTTCTTATATTTTTCGGATCTCTTTTTTCAAAAAAATCTTCTAAACACTTGCTGCGGGAAATAAAAAAACCAAGATGGAATAGAATTTCCCTCAGCTCATGCAATTTAACTTTTCCATCTTCATCCTTATCATAAAGGCAAAACACCTCTTTCATTCTATGTTCTTCCTGAGGTTTAAACTGCTTTTCAAAATGGCAGACAATGTCACCCAAAGAAAGCAGCCCATTGCAGTCCTTGTCTATCTCGGCAAAGAGCTGAAATATTTTGTTAATATCTTTTATTAAATGTGTAATTTTTACTTTCGTTATTTTGTAAATTTATAGTTCTAAATATGAAACAGACATTGGATCATGGATGTGAATGGATCCATATCTTCTTTTAGGTAATAGGTTATATTTTTAGAAGGAAAATATGGATACAATTAGATGAAGAATAGAATGTATGTTTTGAATTATAGAAAAAAAGCATTTTCTCGATCGCAATATTTATCCTTACCATATATTATATATTGTAATGTACAACTTTATTGTAAGTGAGTAAAAAGGGTTTAATAAATTAATGTTGAACAATTAAAAGGCAAGATAATCTAGTTCTACTGGTGCAGGGAAAAGAAAATGGCTACTTTGTAATTTCCCAAGAAGGAAAATCCCAAAGAGGAGAGGGACAAAGGTTTTTGTTTTGGCAAGCAGTTGTTGTTTGACTGCAGTGAAGAGAGGCTAAGAGAAGATATCCTGTCCTGGCTCCAGTGGGTAAAACCCAGTAATAGTTTTACCATCTTAGAAGATCTTGTTTGGCAGGGAGAATAGTTGTTTGGAATTACAAGAGAGAGGATTTCCCAGAGACCTTGAGTTGAATGGAAGATTAGTATTACCATTTTGAGATATGTGTTTGGCAGAACATAAGAAAATGTGTGAAGACAAATGAGTTCAGTGCCACAACGGAAGAAACATCTTATGTAGAAAAAAGGTTAGCTTGTCAATCCAGATTTCACTTTATTTTAAAATCAGTGTTTAATTTTATTATAAATAGTGTAAATAATAATAGTTGATCTGATTGTCAGAAACCCACACCTGAGATAAATAAATATATTAATACTCTTCTAATTTTGTTTATTATTATAACAACCTCTTGTTTCTTTTGGAAGTATCCTAATGGATAAAGTGTTCTTCCGAGGTTATATTATTATTATTTGTAAAATATAAGAGGGATGTTACAATATATACGTAAGTGAAAGTAAAAAAAAAAGCTGACGACCATCATAAATTTTACTATAAAACCAATAATTTTTCAGTTAATCAAAATTTTTATTAAAATAAAGAATTTAAAGCAATCAGTTAAATTTCTGAACAGTTACCAAAATTGAAATATCTATTTGGTGGATAATATTAGTAAACTGAAAATGTATTAAATAAACATATACAATATAAAAATGAGTACCTATCATTATTAAGTATCGGTAAATCAGTATTAAATCATGTAATAAATTAATTATTTATTACACCTCTAAATATTTGAGAGGTGAATAGAGGAAGGATTGATAAATAATTGCATAAGCAAATTTAAATTCTATTTAATGCAAGTTCAGTTGAGACAAGGAAGAGGTAGGCTTAACGTACTCTTGTTTGTAAAATGCTAAAAATTGTAATATTGTTTTAATTTTTAACTAGAATTAATATCTTGATATTTCTGTAAAAACTCCAATTGTTTCGATTTTGGGAAACAATTGATGTTATAGTAAAAAAGAACCAATTGATGATTATTAAAAATAATAATCAACCAAAAAAATGTAAAACTTTAGCAAAAATATTATTTTTAAGCCTCTTACGCTACCTCAAGATAAAAACTTAAAACAATGAAATTTCTTAGCGTTTTTGGAGAAATAAAAAGCCAACTTTTGTATGCTAATAGAATGATGCCTGCCAAAAAAATGTTCTTCATTCCACTGTAGTAGGAATAATAATAATCGAAAGCTAATGTAGGACAAATTCACATTGGTTACTTTAACATGTTGTCGACGATATTACTAATACTTATGGAGAATAGTTCAACAAAATCCTTTGACTAATTCATGGTCTGATCGTTTTTAAGAGAAATAGTTTGAGGGAAAAAATTATTGAATTGAATGAATAATAAGTTGGATCCAACAAGAGTGTAAGTAAGCGGTCGCTACCATAGGCTGTACCAAAGAAATAGTACCGTAAGCTGGTACAGGATTGGTAGTATGTCTAATAAAATCAATGTAAATTTTGCAGAAAAGAGGATTATTTTAAATAAAGTAAATATTACTTTATTTTTTTATATGTAATAATTAAATTTTGAAGAACTAATATTTAACTTTTCAAAATCTTATTTTATAGTGCAATAGCAGTAACTCTAGGTTATTTAATTTACTTGAAGCACAACCCAGTCTTTATAAAATGGGTACTCTTAATTAAATAATTAATTACGGAGAAAAACCAGGCCTTTGAGCATGATCCTGACCCAATCACCTCCCTACTCAGCCTTTAAACAATACTTCCTAACAAAGTACTTAACCCAAAACCAAAATAGGTTGTAGTGATACAATTTTTTTTTTTTAATTTTCTTGTTCGGATTACAGATAAATGTATTATATATAAAACACTATTATATATAATATATAAAACACAGGGTGGGTAAACATTTTTTCAAACTTAATTGTGATTCATTTGGAGGGTGAAAAAATATTTACAAAATAGTATTGATATATATATATAGCGGTAGATATATTATACAATACTATTTTGTAATAATATTACCTCTAACCACCCTCCAAATGAATCACAATTAAATTGAAAAAATGTTTATATATATATATACACACAATATATTTTTTATATTAATGTTTAACAAAATTATAAAAACCACAATAGATGTCTATTTTAAATTAATAAGTTTCAACTATGGAGTATTAGTTTTAACCACTTATAAACAATAAGTATATACGGATACCACACTATCCCTTTATCCCTGATTCTGATGCTGCACTTATTTTCTATTTTATGACTTTAGTAAGCCATTGAATTTAACCTCCCCTATCACTAGTGGCTTAAATACTATGTAATATATATATATTTGACGGTTTTATGGTATTATTATCTAAGGCTTTGAATGATCAGCTGCTTCTCACACTGGAAAAAAAATCCTTTACAAAATAAATGTAGCAATTTGAGATTGATGTACTATGTATGGTGAAGAAAGACCAATAGAGAACTGCTAAAAAAAAAATTTATTAATCAATATCTCATGATATGAAGGCAAGGAGGTTAAGATGGGCAGGGCATGTAGCTCGGAAGCTATGGGAGACCAAAAACCAGATAGATATATATAATCAACAAAGATACTGTATATATATATACATGAATAAGTGAAAAAGAATAGCCTAAGATAAGTGTAAATGGAAAATGGAAAAGGATAGTTCAGGCGACCAAAGATCTAAAAGGTTTGTAAAGACAACAGAAAAATAAATAAAAACAAATAAATCTACTGGTTCACATCAGTCCAGTAAAGTAATAAATAATTTAGTCTATAATGAAAGAAATCACAAGTATACAAATAGTAGTCAATTTCCAATGAATACTGAAATTATACACTATTACACTTGGATTCTACAACAAACATTCCAACATTTTTATCTTTTTGAAACTTTAGTTTTAAATATAAAATGGAATTTTAATGAGGATTCAGAAAAAAATTATATCTCTGTTAATTCTGAAGTTATTTGGCTTTGGAGAAAAATATCGTCAATTACTTAGTTTTTTTAAACATTATTTTAAAATATTGTTTGTCTATACTCATTGATACTGTATTCTTTGTTATTTTTTTTTAGTTTATATTTATCAATAAATAAAATTATAATACATACACAATACAGTTCCCTGCTATCTAATGATCTACCCATAGTACGTCGAATGAAATGGTTAAACTGAAACATATTTATACATTCATCTCGATCCTCATCTTCTTCATCAAAATTATTCTTCATTATAAGTAAATCACATTCTGAATAATGTGTATCGAACGGAAGTTTAGATGCAATGCAACAGTATTTTACGTTGTTTATAGTTGGATAAATATATTTAGTTGGGCAGGCAAGCCTCAAGCCAGCCCTTAATAGAGTTTTGCCTATTAACATCATGCTTATCAATTGTATAGATTTTAGAAAGAGAGTCCGATGTGTGATTTCAAATTCCAGTCATGATTTGATTCCCTCTTGACTTGATTGTGTGAGATTTTAATGTACAGGCTACATATTTATGTGATTACATTGTGAGCACTCCCATTACATATGTATACATTTAATCATCTGTTTTGTTACAGTTTTAATTTAATGTTTATATCTCTTTGACTTTAAAAAATAATGGAATAGATAGGAAACCGACCAAGAAAAAAATTATAATAATAAAGAATAACCACTTTGTAACATTATGCAAAAGGTTAGGACATAAATAATTAGAATTACTTTTTTTATTATTTTCTCTATTTCTTTTCTTTTCTTTCTTTTTTTTTTTTTTTTTATCACATGATAACATTTTGATGAATTAGAAACAAAAAAGTTTATAAAACTTACTACTTGTTTTTTAAAATTATAACTCAGCAATTTAAAAACAACAACAGAGGTTTAATCAATAATGAGGTATTTATAATAATAAGTTCACTTATTGAGGTATAACAAGAGGTACTGAGGTCAAGAGTAACCTTGAAGGATATGTAACATAATTTTCCATTTCTTAATTCAGTAATCACTATGGCAGCAAAACTTATGATCAACTTTAGTAGGAACATAATCTGGGCTCAATTAACTCTGACTCAGAATCCATCCTTGTAGAAAGTTTAGATAAGGTTGGTTTCCGAATTTCTGTTTTCTATCCAGAAGGTTACCATATAAACAGGGATGTTGAGTTAATTAAGTTAATTTAAAAAAGACAATTTACTAGAGTAAATATATCTGTAATATTAGTGCATCTCAGTGCACCTGCACTGAATAAGATATTCTTTTTTTTTTCTTTTTTTTTATTAACGAAATTTACAACTGTAATTAATAATAAATACAACAAGTAAATATGAACAAGTAATATGACATGTACAACATGAAGAGAAACCACCCATTGATAGAACTCCAATTATATTTCTATATTAGAAGGTCCCAAGGCCATCTTCTTTTCAGACGCCTCGGAGGGTTATCAGGAATAGAAGAGGAAGCAAGGTTGGAAACGAGCGGGTTTGGATGGTTCAGAAGTTTATTATGAAAGGACAGTTATCTGGATTGAGCTAAATCGGAAACATATGGTACGTTAAGGTCATTATGGATGATTTTATTTGTGACAAAGTAGGGAGCATTAAGGATTTTGGATTGTAGGGATTGGATACGACAGGAATTTGATGGTTTAGTAGAGCCCCAAAGCTCGATCTGCTCTCGTAGCCATGCTGCCATTTTCTCATATCTTGTATAGTGCTTGGTTTAAATATTTCAATCCCTTTAAGATTTCCCATACCCTGATAAATCTTTACTCTCAAATTATTATATATTGGGCATTTAAATAATAAAGTGTCCCTTTTTTCATTGTATTTCACATTTTGCACTCAAGTTGTGGATTGATTTTTAAAATTTGAATGTTGCCTGAAATTTAAATAAAGTATTTTCACGGTTGGCGGATCTGTATTAATACTCTGGTACATTTGGAATTAACTGGCATCAACAGATACTGGGAGATCCTACCATTGTTAAGAAATAATTTCAAATGTTCGCTGTCGCTATATGTGGAACAATCAAGTTGCGCTTGGAGTAGAGTGGGGATATCCACCAGTTGGAAAGAAAGGGTGCCTGCCATCTTAGGGTGCCAGAGTTAGAGTTGGGGAAGCGGCGGGAGAGTTGGGATGGCATCCCTTGGTGTTGTGGGACTATTGTGTGGACATAATAGAAAGATGATGATGATCTCTGTTTATGTGTTTATTTTCAATACTGTAAGTTATTATAAAGATGATGAAACAGATCAGAACACATGTTATTTTATCTTCAAGTTATTGTATAAAGGTAAATATAGTGTTATTTCTTTTTGAAGTTCATTCATATTCACTTCTCTTGCCTCATTAATTATAATTACTTACTCCTCTCTATCAATCAACATGGTAACCTTTGGAAAGGAAAAGTACTTTAAGTAATACTTATTATTTAATATTTTATTATAAGGTAAATAAAGCGCATATATAAATAGCAATATAACACTGTAAGCTGAGCTATGCAATGCTTTCTTGTCACTATCCTGCAAATGTTGTTTATATTTGTTTAATATCCCGTTAATATTAGCTCTAATTATGACTGGGTTGGTTTTTTTTTTTTTTTTTTGTGGGTCCTCCCCTTCCTCGCCGTTAAGGCTATACGGAGTTTACCTGGGTCAGGGAGTGTGGGCGGGGATTTAAAAGACTGGGTTGGTTTAATAAACTAAATCGCCTTCCTCTGAGCACAGCATTATATTTCGAAAGAACAGGATTAGATTGGTAATATTTGGTTCTAAGCTTTCCGAAACATATTTTAGGAAATCTAAATTCCTCCATTTCCACAAATGGTACTATACTAGCCATTTATTCAAAAGCCAAAACGAACTCATCGAAGGCAAGAGAAAAGATTAAAAAGGCATCATTAATACAGCTTTGCTACATTGTGCTCAGGTATGGAGTCTCCGATACATAAACCTCTTAGAAAAGGTCAACATAAATTTATATAAACAGACATTTTTTCTTTATAAATCCACCCCAGACATTTTAATAGAAATAGAAAAACATCTTTATTCTGGGACTACGTCCCTTAATAATAACAATATTGTTCAAACCAATCGACAATAAATCTGGCCAGATGATCTATTATAATAAAGACTAACTAAAATCTAAGTACTAAAATGAGTATATACATAGTTTTGGAGTGTATATTACAAATAAAAACAAGGGTTACAATATTATAATATTGGTAAAAAAAACAAAAACATACTAATAACTAAATAAAATTGGAAAGAAACGCTAAGTTTTATAAGTAACCAATTTTAGTGATAAAATATTTTTTTTTTAAATAACTAGAGTAAATAAATGAAGGGCCAGGGAGAAAAAAGATGAAAGCCACTTTTTCTTTAATTTTGAGATATTAGCGCTATCTAGGGGCTATGAAGGAGTAATATCATCTGGTAGAAAAACAACAAGGGGGAAAAAAGATGAGAATCGACCGAAATGTGAATGAAAAGATTCGGGGTAAGGGGAAAAATAGATGAATGTCACAAGCGCAGATGGAAGAAAGATGAATGTCAAATTAAATGCCCGGGCTACCGGTAGTGGCCAGCAGTGTTGCGGAAACCTCCTCACAATCAGCTTATAACTTGTTGAATCGTGCATGGCTAAATTCGTATTGTTTTTGTGGCTTATTGTTTTTCCTGAATTGTTGGTGTATAAAAAAATAATATTGAGTACCAGCATCATGGATACTCCGGATTCTGCAGAGAGTAGTGATGAGGTGAGGAAAGTTCCGACCAAACTGACAAAAAAGAGGAGACCGACTGGGAGAATGAAAGAGGTTATGAAGAAACTAAGGCTCTCTTCGCATGAACCAGTACCTGACTGTAAGTGTTTTCGGCTTACATGTTTTCAAACTGTATCAGAATTTGTGAGGATGAAATTGATCAAGGAGTTCAACGAAATTAACTCCTATGACCAATAAAGTTCTTTTCTTTCTGGATTCATTACTGTTCTACCCGTGCAGAAACGAAAGAGCATGGAAGGCAGTAGTCGCGAAAAAAAGGCTTCTTATGCTTTTAGAGTAAGGGTCGATGCTGATGGGACCAACAGAGATTTACCTGTTTGTTTCAAGGCGTTCACGTCTATTTTTGGTATTACGCCTAAACGAGTTCAGACCATTCAACAGTCATTAACTGAGAAGGGTTGCAGTCCCAAAGATAATAGGGGTAAACATGTAAAACGACCTCATAAAATCATGGATCAAACTCGTGATCTTGTGAAGGATTTCATAAATTTGTTGAAGGGACGGAAATCCCATTATTCTTTAAACGGTTTGGACAAAATATATCTACTGGAAGATCTTAATTTGTCCAAATTGACCAAGATGTACAATGAAATTCACAAAGAGAACATCGTACATTATGACACATTCCGATCAATTTTCAACTATGTATTTAGTATATCGTTCGGCTATCCATGGAAGGATACCTGCAGCACGTGTGATGCCATCAAGTCTCAGAAATCAGCAATTGAATCAGGCACCACAACCACTCTTCCAGACTCGCAAAAAATATTTGATCCCAAAATGGAAATACAAAAATTGGAAATACAAAAATTGGACACAGCACAAACTTCACCTATCGAAAGCTGAAAAATTCTATTCAATTAAAAGGAATATCAAAAAAATTAGTAAAAGAAATCATACTGTTGCTGCCATTGCCATGGACTTTCAGAAAAATCTACCTAGCCCAACATACAAGAAAACGTCCTGCTCCACTAGACCTTTAACTAACCTGTATGATGGACCATTGCCGATTTCTCAACCAAAGTTCAACGACTTGCAACAACTAAAAAAATTTTTGGTTAACCCTGCTGGGAAGGCGTTCTTTGAGAATTTGTCGACCATAAATCCAGCAGCTGTTCACAATGACAGCGAAGATGTATATCTGGATTACCCAGATGAATAAATTTTCGTAAAAATTTTTTGTTCATTGCCAGTAAAATATAAGTTGTTCATTAAATTCATTAAGTTTCTTTTTTCACCTTCATCATTTCACCTAGGAGCTACATGGAATTGCATATATTGATTACGAACATCTATTAGGAATTGATACACTAAAAAAAAAAGTATGATTATATTACAAAAGGAGATAATAGAAATCAAACTTTGTTTTTCATTTTTCTCGAAATCACTTTTTGGTCACTTTCATCTTTTTTCTCCCTGGCCCTTCAAATGATTTATATATGTTCCTTAAGACATTTAAGTGAAAACACATGAAGATATTGTGAAAAAATAGACAAGTATTGTGATCTACCTATGGCACAATAGATTACGAGCAGAAAAAAAATAAATAAAATAAATATATATACATATACACACATAGGGAGCAGTGTGTAGAAGATAAGTAAAAAATGTATTACTTTTAAATAAATAAAATATGCTTCAAAAAAATACAATCTTATGAATATAAAAGGTAGAAGGTAAGAAAAACAACAAAAAATTATACCTACTCACAATGCTTTGTAAAAGGTAATCGAAATTCTACTATATATATACGAAATACTACTACTAATACGCTTAGAAACAGGTCCTCTTCATATTGGTTTCAATGTTATGAGAAATATTCCTTGAACTGATCGGTTAGACTTGTGGAAATGGAGGAATTAGGATTTATTATCTATCTCAAATCAAATTTATTTTTTAATGGAAAAAAAATCTCAGGATACAAGAGCCCATTAATACTGTACATGTTAAAGTAATTATTCCTTAGAGCACACAGCAAAAACTCAAAAGGATTATTTATTGTAGTTCCTCACTTTATATTTTTCTCTAAATAAGTGTTCCTTCAGAACATTTTCTATGAAATTTCACATAACAGTAATTCATTTTTTCTTTGATTGTTCCAGACTGAAACTACAGTTGCAGAGACACTTTATAAAAACAAATCCAGTTTAGAAGCTATTTTTCGAATTATTGACAAAGATAATTCTGGTATGTTTATTGATTTAACATGTGTAATATTTTTATTAATCTGGTTATTAAAATTTTCAGAATGTTTTTGAGTATGTTTAGTAACTAAAATAAAGTGTTTAACTTTTATTTATGATGCTGATATAATTTTTTTTATTGCTGCAGACCGAGTTTTATATGAAAATATTAATTTTTTACAAATTTACGGTTAAGACGGAGATATCTTCTTAAATATGTTTGGGCTTTCTTACTTTTTAACTTGAATTTTGTTGCTTTCTGCTCTGCTCTGACACGAACTCGTACTTTTTTTTTTAATCTCTTAACTTCAGTTATCTGGTCGTCGGGCAGCTGTGGAAACACGTTAGCCCATTCAGCCATTAACTTTGCAACTAAGTTAAGTTATATTTTTCAGGTTACATATCTCTTGAGGAGTTCAAGGAGGCATGCCAGCTAATTGGAGAACACTTGGACCAACCTCAAGAAGAAGCCATCGACATATGTAAATCGATGGACATGAATAAAGACGGATTGGTGGACTTGAACGAATTTTTGGAAACTTTTAGGCTGGTTGAAAATCAGCACTCGTTGGATATGGAATTCGATGAAGAAGATATTTAATTTGTTTTTTCTTAAACTTAGCATTTTTTCTAGTCATTGTTAAAATTTAATCACCTTTTAACTCATTAAACTTTTTAAAGCTCTGAGCTTCTGTGATCTATTTTTATGAACTTATTTAAGAGGTTATTTGAATTTAGAAATGGGAGCATAAATATAGTATTAGAATATTTAAATTTACTCAATTCTTTTATATTATAAAATATATATATATATATTTGTCATAAGCTTATATCATCAGCATATTTATTATAAAATTTACAAAAATAAAAATAAAACAAAAAATAATAAAATTATTGAGCATTTATTTGTAAATTACTAAAATTTAATTCATTAGCAATTATGATAATTAAAAATGTTGAATTTAAAATTTTACTATATCAAAGAATTATTGAAAAATAACAATCTATTGAAACTTTATCAGTGCTTATTAATGTTGCACTGTCTTTTATGCTATCAAAATATTGTATTAAAATTATATTCTATCATAAAAAAGAATTCTTTATTACTCTGAAATTCAAGGAGCAATTTCTAATATATTATATATTTTTCTGTTGGAATATGTTGAAATAATTTATTCTATCTCTGAACTGTTAAATAATAAGTGACACAATTTTGTATTTATTATATTTGATAAAAAAAAAATTAAAATAACTTAAATTATAAAAAAATAAATTATCTATTATTGTTCTTAAAATATAAGACAAAAATGTTTGAAAAATGCAATTTATTCTGTAAATGGAATCATTATTTCATAAATGAATTGTAATTTATTATGTACATTGAATATCATAAAAGTATAATTATGTATCACTCATAAAATTTAACAAAGATTAATGAGAAATTTAATGAAGTTTTTGTGGATTCTAACATAAAATTTGTATCCAGTATGTTTTTATGAATCATAGTGGTGAAATTCATTTTTATATTAAGAAATATATTGAAGATTTGTTGATTTAAATTTTTTTTAAATGTATGTTCTGGGTTAACACATTGGTCACAAGGTTCCCTTTTTCAATTCAAAGGTTGGGAGGGGGAATAAAGGGAAATAATTTTTATTTATCAAAGCCTTATAAGAGCACAATGTAATCTATTTTTTAAATAATATAAGTAAAACAATCATAAAAAGAATTGTTACATGTTAAGTATTCCTTCCTTCGATCAGTACAACTCATTGATGGGTCAGGGCATCTCGCAACATCAACTGCCATTCCTCTTGGTTCGCTGCCGTTGCCTTCCAGTTTCTTACTTCCAAGATGGATCGCGCATCTTCCGCCAGTCCATCGGCCCACTGTAGTCTTGGGATGTTAATTCTCCTCTTGCCGTACAGCCTTTCTTTCTAAAGTCTCTTTAGGATATCATCGTTCTTCATTCGAGCAACATGGCCTGCCCAAAGAAGCCTTCCAATCTTTTTGAACCTTATGAAATTTGTATTATTATACATTCTTTCTATTGAAACCGCCTCTCGGATCTTAGGAGCATTAGTTCTTGAGCTAGAGAGATTTTACAACATTTGGATCAGAACAATTTATAAGGCCCTTATGAGGGTCTTATAAAGCTGCACTTTGGTGTTCTCTGAGAATCCTCTACTTCTGAAATGTTTTAGAAGCCTGAAATAGCATCTGTTTGCAGCCATTAATCTTCTATTAATTTCGTGTTGCATATCAAGTCAGAGTTCACACGAGAGCCGAAAAAAAATAAATTTGTTCACACTCTCAAATGTGAAGTTTCTGATTTTTATGTGGGCTTCCTGCTGATCCAAATATTAATATTAATAAATAAGTATATTAGTGTTAATATTAAGTATTATTTTTATAAATTTGTGCAAAATTTAAGTTCATTCTGAAGGAAAAAATGTTACGTCTTTTCAAAACAAGTTATGAATGTTTTTACAATTTTTTTTTCATTTTTAGTTTGGGTAAAATCTGACGCACCATTTCTACTTTTAAACATGACGAATTATCATAAAAATCATCACTCATTTTAATTTATAAATTATTTTCACTGTTTACATATTACTTTACGGTATACAGTTACAGTCAATGGTGGGCCTTTGCTTATTTATTGATGTTGAATCATTTGTTTATAATTCTGCTGTAATTTATTGATCCCTAACGCTTCAAAATCCTCTTCTAAGTCTTCCATTCACCATCATCGTGGTCATTTAACTTTTTCGACGATTACAAAGCCTTTCAGTAGTTTGCTTGGTGTGCCTTAATAAATTGGACCACATGAACATCTTCCAATAAAGAGTAAATCTCACAATTGTTTTCAATACATTTATTATACTATTAAAAACTGGACCATAATTTTTTCTGAAAAGCCTCAAGCAGCTGTAACAGTCCAGTTTTTTCTACATAAGTAAGAAATGGTGTAATCGTTTTAATCGATCATGACAAAATCATATCTCTATAGAATTTAAAATTCAGAATAAAAAATATTTTGTTTAAAAAATACCACAAAAATTTTCTTCCAATGGGTCTAGGTTAACAAGGAACATGTTTTTAGACAAGTTATTTGATGTAATTACAAAATTTTGAGAAACAATATTTTGTTGAAGTTCAAAAAGAACATCACCATGTATGTATGGTTTTTTTTTTGTACTGATCCGGACCGTCACCCATACTATATTTTCCTTGATTAATCAATATACTGTTCATTTTTTAAAAACCCATAACTTAAAGATTATGATTTTCGAGTTAATACCACAGATAAACTGGCAATGAAATGCACTTTTAACTGGTCGAATGTCCTATCTTAGCTCTTAAAGGGAATTATACAATATTTTTCTTTGGTATTACAGTATGATTGCAATTTATTGAGATCAAAATTGTAATCTTACTATACAATAAGTTAACTTTGTGGATATGATGTTAGGTTATTATAGGAAAAATTTCAAAACATACAGCCTTATGTCTCCAAAATGTAGGAAAAGAAAAACCCATCAACATTTTGCCAGTTCAGGCATCATCAGAACAGAAAAAAAACAACAGCTAATTGAACATCACTATATGAAATCCAATCGCATACTGTAATGAAGGTGACAATAGAACCTTTTTCTTCAAAAAAGTTATTTAAGTTTCTACTGTTACCTTCATTTCCATAGGCGATTGGATTTCATAGAATAGAATAGAAAATAATTTTATTCTGGAACGAAATCTCTTCAGAATAACAAAAAAAGTACAAAATTAAAATGTTATATCTGGCCAAATAAAAACAAACATCAAAAGTAAAGATAAAGATAAATCAGTAAAGAAAGTATTAGTTATATATACTATATACAAAATGAAATTAAAAAATCCATATACAAAACTCTTGAAACCTTGCCAAGACACTTAAAACTATGTACAATAGTAAAATATAAATATACACTTTTAGAAGAAATAAAAAATACAGTACATTCTTCTTAGCAGTAAACACGAAGTTGAATCTGATAATAAGTATTTAAGCTATGAGCTATATGTAAATACATTATTATGAGTAAGATGTAATTTTACATAAAAGGTTAGCGGGTATCTGACTGTTTTTGGGACAGGAATTGGAATAGGAGGGTTTTGAATGTAGATAGGGATGAAAAATGCCAAATTTTGATGGGAAGGGAATTCCAAAAATTAACAGAGAGAGCAATAAAGGATTTTTGGAATGAGGCAGATCGGAAAGAAATCATGTAAAGGTGAGAAGGTCAGGATCTTGTGGAAAGGGAGTGGACTGAGGACTTGAATTGGAGAAGGTTGTAGGCGTAAGAAGGACGATGATATGATAGAGGAATGTACCTAGGAAATATTGTCTTCAAATGGAGGGGAAGAACCACTCTAACTCAGTGTGGTGGTGAGGGACATGGCAGTATCTCGGGGCACCAATTACAAATCTCACGCAACTGTTCATTAATCTTTTCAGTCTGTCATGTAGCTCTACCGAGAGTCCATCATGCACCACACAGCTGTAGTCAAAGTGGGGGAAGATGAGAGAGGAAACCAGGAGTCTACTCTAATAGTCAAGTCTAATAGTTTGAGGGTAGAAATTGTCCGTCAGGAGATGTGAGAAATAAATATTTCTGGTGATTCCAGGAGAGGGTTTGATCGATAAATAATCCTAAATTTTTGACAGAGGAGTAGAAGGAGATTGACTGGTCATCAAGGTTTAGTATGGGAAAGTCGGTATAGGATCTAAGGAGGGGCTTGGAACCAATGACTATGGCCTGAGTTTTTGCAGCATTTAACCTTAATCTGTTTAAGTTTGCCAAGGAATGATGTTCTCAATTAGCTGTTTTTTCTATCCTGATGTCTGAATTGACGAAACATTGACGGGTTTTTCTTTGCCTGCATTTTTGGGAGACATATGGCTGAATGGTTTGGAATTTTTCCAAATATAACAACCTAACATTTATTTTTTGTCTCGGCTATTTTGTTAATAATTTATTACAATATATTTCTTAAGTTGTCTACAAAGCCAATTTGTAAACTCAGCTGAGTAATTTATTTGAGGTAGTATTGAATAAGTGTTTTATGGGGTCTTGGGAAACAAGATGTAGAAAGTCCAATTTGAAATATTTATCTTGCACCACTATGATTCTTACAGTCTATGTAAAATAAAGTTTTCTTATTTTGTCTGATAATAATATTGATGTTAAAAATTATCAACCTATTTGAAAACATATTCATTATAAAATTAATAAATGATATGATTTCATAAAGAAATATTATAATAAAATATAAGCCTACCAGCTCTTTAAAAGTACTGTTACTTAAGGTTTACACCCACTGAAATGAGTTTTTAATTACACCTTAGTATCCCTTATTTTGAAAATAGTAGTCATTTTGTGTTATGCTTTGACATAATTTTCCATGTTTCTGAGTAACTTACCTATTTTCCTGATACATTTTTTGGGTCCTCGCAAGCCCAACTCATTAGAAACCAAAATATTTTAATTTTCGACATTAATATCTAAAATATAAAAGTTTTTGATATATTATTTGAGAACATAATATAAGATATAAGTAAGGCCAATCACTTTTTGCCAGTAATGGTTAAAACAGGGTTTATTTGAGTTAAAATAATTATTTTGAAATAAATGCAGTATACAACTACTTTTTTCATCCTTATCATTTTAAATGCTTCCACATGGAACTCATTTTACATTGCTAAAATTGAATTTGATTACATTACATCAGTACTATTTTTAATATCTTTGCCTGAATCAAACTACTTATTTTTATTTTAAAAGAAATTAATAAAATTAATATTAAGTTAAATTTTTAATTAGGAAGCTATCGATGAAATAATGCTCATCTGAGAGACAAAATTTTCCAATATTACCAATATTTCTTCAGAGCATGAATCGAGAGTTTAACTTTTTAATAACTAAACAGTTATTTGCATTATCTATTACATGAAATATAGTCTCTCCATAATAATTTCCCTATGCTTTTATTTAATATTAAAACTCTGAATATGCTAGAATACGGTGATAAGTAAAAGAGATAAATAATTTCACTTTAGCACTGTAGGTTTTAAATTGCTTTGATTACCATTATTTCTTCAGAGCATGAATCAAGAGTTTAATTGTTTAGTAACAATTGGTTACTTATATTATCTATTACATGGAATATAGTTACTCCATAACAATTTCCCTATGCTGCTATTTAATATTAAAACTCTGAAGATGCTAAAATATGGTGGAAAGTAAAGAAGATAAATTATTTAACTTTAGCACTTTAGGTTTTAAATTTGTTTATAATTTACATCTCTTCAACATCTATCTATAATTTGTTTTATTATCATTCTGTAAATAAACTTTGATCAGATATTCCAACATGAAGAGAAATTAAAGTTGAAAAAATAAAATTGGAATTTTTTTTTATTAAAGAATTTATACAAGTTTGTTAACGCAGATATGTAAACATACCTGATAATTGTTCAAATAATAATAATAAATATAACTGCATGATATTAAAAAAATATAAATATACCTTGATTGTTTTATATATTTATTATACATTATAAAAGGTAGGTTTTCATGATAGTTCGAAAGACATTCAACAGATAGCGCTGAGACCTTTATTGTTCGACTCATCTGGTAAAAGCCAATATCCATCGAAAATATTTTTGGAATACCATAATTTTATTTTAAAATATGTCGTTTATTACTTTATCCAACGTAATAGTTAAATATTTAGTTCATATTTTAATCTAAGTATTTTTTTTTTTTTTTAATTTAGAAACGTGAGAGAAAAATATAAACAATAATTGGATGGAAGTATTCATACTGAATCATAAACCGAAATACTTGTGTAGGAATTTTTAACACATAAATTTCTGTATAGAACATAGCCCAAAAGACAACTGTGAAGTAAAATTTAGCTTTCATTAGTTTCAGAAATGAAATAAGAATGTAGAGTTCAGTAGAAGGAACACAGGAACTATATCATTCTGAATAAAATCAATAGATTTTTATTAATATAATTTATTACTTATTGTGTTTATACTACTTTATGTACATATAAGTTATACATACAGCCAAAATAAAAAAAAATCTACATTTACGAATCTCATTCGCCATAACCAAATGACGTTTATTATTTGTTTAGCCACTTCATTTTTGCTTCCTCACTACCGAAGGAAGGGAAGCATTGTATTCGTGCAAGAGGATAAAAAAAAATTGTGCTCAAAATCGAAAATTTTTACTCGCGTTTTACTAAGTAATTAACACTGTTCTCCAAATTTCCTCCAAGTTTGGGTCAAATAGAATACGCCGTTTTCAAAATATAAGCATATCAAATAATACATTTCCTGATCTGAAAGCGGAAGTACTTTTTTTTATTGAGTAGTAGATAAAATTGATAACTATTTAATTTTACGTTTACCAATCCCTAAATTCCCTCCATATTAGAGCCAAATCGAACAAGCGGTTTTAGAGATATAGACGTATTAAGCAAAAACACGTTTTCGCGAAAACAAAATTGACCCTACATCATTTTTTCACAAATACCTACATTTGATCTAACTTTGAACCAAAGCCGTTCAATTTAAACATGGATGAGAGATCTTCTTTCCAGAATTAAGGAAATAAACCAAGACCAGGAAAAAGTGCAGCTGGGTACTATTTTTTTCCCTCATGCCTAAAAATGTCTTCTAAAGATGTCAACTAAGGGGCAAGAGTAATACATGAAACATATCGCAGCAAGTATAATTGTGTAGGATCTACGGTTTTTAAAATTCTACTTTCGCTTACTTTTTAAGAAGAGGAGAGCAATAAAATATCTTTTAAAGAGGAGGAGGTAAGGTTCATGCGTCATCGACCTTGGGGTAATGGGCACCCTTAATGTTACCAGTAACATTTTTATTAGCATTTTAATTGGTGTAAATGAAATCAAATATTATTTGAAAACATTATCGAATAATGAATCCGAGACCTTTTATTGTAGAGGCACAATTTTTAATTTTTGTTTGCAATTTAAATTAACATGCTAAGGTGAACGCACCAATTATGGACAGGGGACCCAGTGACGGGCAGGTTCCAATTTTTTCTAGATTGAAGAACAATGCCCTCTATTGACAACTGTATGAACGAAGTTCATAAAGAAAATTTTAAAATTTCTATCATTGTTGTATCTATAGTGCTCTTGAGATCAATACGTTTCATACCTTCCTACTAATAGTTTTTTCTAAGAATAAGTTGAACATTTATGTTATGTTATCTTTATTGCTATCTTTTTTTCTCAATTTTTTTGAGGTATATCTATTACTGGTACCGACCTCCTGTCCGTTACTAGAACAATTGAATTTATATGTGTACATCACGACTGCAAAGAGGTATTTTTTAATCAAGATTATATCTGCATTCTGAATTTATTAAAATTAGTTTCGCAAAATAGGATTTTTTCTGAACTCTTAAAGCCAAGAAAACAAAAATAAAATAAAATTTGTTGTATAGTTACTAAATTATTTAATAAAAAAAAAACGGATATCATGTCTTTTATCTCCGCGGCACAGATATGTTCAATTCGTTGATATTAAATTTTTGCTTACTTAATCCTTAATATGCTTTACCTGATGATACCTACTACATCGATCAGTCTAATTGTCAATATTGAGAGGGTTTACTGACAACAGGGTATAAGAAATGTTATTGATTGTACCAAGACATACACAGTATACCATTGGTTTTTGTTTGATGGCCTACCTGACAGGATTATGTAGCTACAAACCCTCGGATAAGATATATTAGGACAGGAAGCAAACAGCCTGAGGACACATCGCCACCAAGGAGGCCTGTGTAATTAGACCATTAGGAGACAATCGGAGGAGCAGGTGGGGCGGTAACGAGCCCATTAGAAATTTAAATTCATTTTGAAGTTGGGGGGGAGGAGGTGAATGATGATCTTTCTGACGCCGTTCCTTTTCAAGTCGTCTTTGTACGCGGCCGCTCCTGCCGCGCGGGGCCACTTTCGAACCGAACAGGAGACAGCTTAAAGTGTATTCTTCCAAATTTTGTAACTTATCGTTTTTATAAAGTGTAAATATGAAAGAATTTCTATGGCGTTTGTATTAAAAATGAATAAATACCTTTATTTTATTTATGTGTTGAGTCCACTCGCAGGCCTTTGCTTTCCCCGATGAGTGCTAAGTCCAATACAAAAATGATTCCTTATATGCATTTTCACTTGGGGCACTGCGAGGGAGGGGAAGTACATTTTGCCCATATCCCCATCCCCATGTATATTATTACAGTAAGGCTCGAAATCGATTTTGTACTAAATATAAGCTCCTGTCATGCTCAAATACTATGAATGGGGTACCGTTGGATTCAAAATTTCACGGGGGGTTAGCGAATCGTATTCTCCACTTTTGGTTTTCTTTCTAAAATAAATAAAATCGATACAAACATTTTGCTAGGCTTCAATACTGGAACGGTGGTAGGTCTGTAGATCGATACGGGACAAATTGGATCTTGAAGATTTTGATGCGTACAGCAAGGCCCGGATAGTTCCTCTGGAACTATCAGATGCTGCGTTTTTAAGCCTAAAAACGTACTATTTTCGAGATAACGCAAGGCATAGGGTGCGCATCCACACAACCTTACGTTAATTGTAGTACTGTCATTGAATACATGTCTCATTTCGTCGACTTGAGGTCTCTATGATCGAGAGAGGAGGGGTTTATATTATTTATCGATGGTGTTTTTGATTGGCATGCCATATCATCGTTAATTTTTCACCGAACTCAAGATTGAGCCACCAATTTCAAAGGTTTCCTTCTCCTTCAGGCGGGCAAAATAGTCCAATCAACCCAAAAATTCAGGCAAACAAGTTAAGAAAGAAAAAAAACTTTATTTGGAAATAAATAAAAAATTACACACTTTTCTTACTATATTCCTTACAAAAGGGAAAAAAAATCATCGAAACCGGACTATTTTTAACAAAGATACAGCTTACTGAAATTTTTGCACATGTTGGTTCCAAACAATTATATTTATCGATAAAGTATCATTTGATTTCTTTATCTTTTGATACCTTGCATTATTTTATTTTCTTATTAATTTGGCATTTGATAACAATAGCTGTGCGAATTTTTCGCACGGGCCTACTAGTATAGGGTAAAAGCATCAATAGCTGACATCTTCCTCAAAAAATGGGAATAAATACATCTGCATATTGGAAATTTGACCCGATCGGAATACTATTCGTACCTAGTATAGGTAGTAAAGTAATAAATTAAAACATGTGTAGAAAATATAATACGCTGTATCATCGTTAATAATGGTTCGATTCCGATGAGTTTTTTGTTTTGTTAGTAATTTAATTACTTTTTGAAAAGTTTTATTATAAT